GCAGTGGTTTTCGTCAATAACTGCAAACATAGATACATATTTCAGCATAACTTGGATTGAAGAGAGTAGTTTCTGTCATTGTTATTGAGGTCAAATAGCCAATAAGTAGCAAGCAGAGCAATAACTATGATGTAAAATGTAAAGAACCATACCAAATCAGAAACATAAAAACGAAAAAGCCTACAAGGTACAGTTTACTGAAATCAGTTTCTTGAACCATCTAAACCTTTAGATGAAACACCGCAAATTGATAAAGCATTGCACACAAGGCAGAGTCATACACAAATTTTGGAAACATACAGTAAAACCAAAGAAAATCCAACTTGGTAAGAAATGAATTACATATAAAGAAAATTTAGCATTCAAGGCTAGCATTATATACAACAGTGATGGGTAGTGGCCTTAGCTGAACGTGGCTCTAGCTTAAATCCAAATTCAAATATAATACTAAATAGAAAATAGGTGAACTAATTTTCTCAGATATAAAGCGTTGAACATCATCTCAATTCCTCAGTCTAACTTCGTTCCTCCATCTTCTACAGGCCAATAAAAGCCTAAAAGGGATAAATGTTTCACTAGAAAAAGGAACCAAACGAGCGATATTCGTTAATCAAAAACATATTACTGAAATCAGACCATTTCTGTTTCTTCCTGTATGAACTAACCACGTAGACAAAGCATTCTGGCACAGTAAGTAAACATATATCCTGTAACGAAATCCGCAGAAAATCCAAAAAAGAAGAGAAATACGCACTTTATTGAGGACGAAATTAGGATAGAGCTGTGTTGCAGTAAGGTAGTGAGAGCAACAAGGGCAATCGCTCTTGTTCTTAAGATGAGTGATGATACACATGTAGCAGAAGCTATGTCCGCACGGGGTCAGGAACGCGTCCTTTATCACTTGCATGCATATCGGACACAGCACGTCCTTGTCCAGCCCCTGCTCCTCCGCCTCCTCCTTCTCCGGCGCCGGAATCGCCATTTGCTGAGCCTGAGCCACCGTCTCCGGCGGCGATTCTTCCGAAGTCAACGGCTCCAGCTTCACCGACGGCACCAACGCCCCTAGTGCACTCCTTGATCCTCCCCCCATCAACGCTTTCTACCTCTCCTTCTGAACTCTCCTCTCACACTTTATCATACATCTGCTTTCGTGTATACATCTATCTATATATCGCCGTACCAATCACACATTACTCCCTAGCAAGCATGTCGCTTTATCGATGCCGAACGGAGAGCGACGTGTCTCAGTTTCAGAGTGATCGACTATGAGGGTGGAAACGTACCACGTCGAATGGACGACTCTTTTATATTATAGTCCGTATACTATTTAAAAAAGATTAATGTACTAATGTACTATATTAGCATATAGCATATTTAAAACTTATAACATAAAGGACTGGACTGTTTCAATAAAATCAAACAAGTTTATATTATATACCTCAATTTTTTTTGAAAGTATATACCTCAATTTTAATTAAACAGAAATTCAACATTCACTGACATCTAACATTCTGTCAACTAAATGCCACCTAAAAAGCAAATGATACGTTAAACTTTCAATGACATGGATGTTTCTCATCAACTATATTAATAATTTGAAGTATGTGTTGCAATTTCATTGATAAAAGATAAAGATAATTAAAAAAAAAATCGAATAGTTCGTTTTTCTTAATGAATCAAAACATGTCACATAAGCATAAAGCAAGTAATTAAATAAAAATTGGGAGTATTGTAGTATTGCTCAACTTAAAATACTCATTTGATTCGATTTTATGCATTGAATCCATTGACTGGGTTTCATGCGATTTATTTTAATTTTTTGTAATATTTAATTTAGTGATAGTATATCAAATTTGGAGGAAATAATAATGTTTATGTTTGTATTATGAAAAATTAACATTTGTTGTCGTTCAATCATATCTAATACTTTATTGTTTCGTTTTGTATGAAGTGATTGTTTTCATTCTTGAATTTTGTCATATTGAAGTTTAAAAAAAAATATGAATTAGTTTAAAATACAAAAGGAAACACTTTTCGAGTTTTCGCCATTCAATTATACTCATCGAGACATTTTATCTCAATTATTTACAAATTGAATTTTGTTTCCGTCCTTAAGTTTTGTTTGAATTGGATTAAAAAAAAAAAAAAAAAAAAAAAAAAACAGTTCATAAATATTGTGAAATAAAAAGTCACTTCAAAAACAATTAAGAAACAAAATTGTAACGGAATCATTATTTGGAAAATAAAAAATGTTATTTCTTTATAATTTGTTAACAAACAAAATATTAATTTTTCAAAACCTATATATTAAAAGTATTATAATACACAATAATATGATTTAACATTTATAAAAATTAAGTAAATAAATAAGAGTTAGTTTATGTGTCCGTTCTTATTGTCAACAAGTTTGTTGGCTCTTCAACGACTTCTCTTGGAATTTATCATGTACTAATATTGTTATTAGAGACGGTTTGTACATTTTATTTAAAAGTTTGAGGCTTTTACCATTAAATATATAAGTAGATCAGTGAACGCACTTGCGGACTCTATTACAATGTAGTATCTGTTCAGGAATTTGCGAACTCTATTACAATGTAGTATATGTTCATGGAATTTATCATATACTAATATTGTTATTAGAGACGGTTTGTACATTTTATTTAAACGCACTTGCGGACTCTATTACAATGTAGTATCTGTTCATAACTACTTTATCAACCTACTAAAACACACATAACTACTTTATTAACCTACTAAAACACACACAAAGAGCCAATAACGCCTATACTGAGGTTCAAACTCACAACCTCTCATATGAGAGTCCAACCCGAATGTCATTTGTGCACAAAGTGTTTGGCTGATTATTTGAGTTTGATTCTTTAAAATTAATAAATAATTTTTTAAAAAAGGTTACTTTTATCTATAGATAATTATTGAGAATTTTTGTTATAAAACTCTTGATATAAATATCTAACAGATTCGGTTGCGAAGACAAAAATATTTTGTAGTAGGGAATATGCAGATATTTTCAGAATGGGATACTAAATAATTGGTCAAAAAAGTAGACTTGCCAAATGGGGTGGATTGGGTGTCGTCGGGCACTCGGGCCCCCCCAACATTGAGCTAAATATGTCAAGCAACCACGGAGCATCCATTAAATTGAAACAAGACAATCAAATAGTAAAATAGAAAATGGAGTCTCATACATTAATTAAATGGATAGAAAGTCTTATTTAAAATTTAATGTTAGAGTAATGTAAGGATTTGATCCTCTACAAATATTAGGGGGTCTACTCTCAAAAACAAATATTAGCGATCTATTTGTTAATCGGAGAATTTATTCAATTGTTTGAAAAACATAATAATTTGATAATAATTTTTTAAGACATGTTTTATAAATGAAAAACATAATTATATAACATTATAACAACGCTATTTTTTTTTTAAATCAACGGGAAGAATATATTAAATACCAAGCAAATGAGAAATACAATCAGAAGGGCTATCAGCCTAAGAACATAGGACAGACGTAGAACCAGTTGTTTGCGCAAGAACATGAGCCACATGATTTACTGACCTACGAATATGGTGAAGAGTAACATTCCCCATACCCCTAGCAATTATACGACATTGTTGAACAATAACTCCAACATAAGAAACGTCTAGAGTAGCAGAATTAAAAGCGATGCAAAAATTTAAACAGTCTGACTCCCACAAAATATTACTACCGTCAAAGTCTTTAAGCCCGCCAGGACAGTGCCTCCTTGGCCGCCAAAGCCTCGGCAAGATACGGGTCGTTACCACAGGCTAAACGACCACTCCTTGCAGCCACAAACTGACCAAGGTGGTCCCTGACGACCGCCCCATACCCCGCACCATCCGCGAAAATTGCTGCGTCGACATTGCACTTTAGTAAAACAGATAATGGTTTCTTGAAATAAACATTTTTTTTGTGTGGAAGAAATAAGTAAATGAAACCTAGGGGTTTGAGTTAAGCTCATTTGTGCATATAAGAGTATAGTTTGGTGGAATATCAAAATTATATTACTAGATTTACTCGATTTAGCAAATTATATACATAAGAATGAATTCATAGAAGCCTGCATTGTTAGCTCAACTAGTCACAGAAGTGAAATTTGTCACAAGAGACTGATAATCAAGTCTCACCAACGATAATGTATGAGCAACGTCTCAAAATTTGGAATCTCCTTATGTATAGTAAACAAAAGTCTAAGTTCGTTTAGTTAATTGGTTGAGTCAACATGATTTACCCCTCTATAAATTGTCAGCCGGGTGTTGAACACTTAGAATGAGTGATTTTACATTTTTGTTACAAGGAATGAATTCATACAGTTTAAGATATAATGAGGTGAAATTAAAAACCTAAGTTATTATTTAAAAAAAAAAAAAAACACCTAAAATTGAGTAAATCGAGCCTGATTAGTTGTAGCCTGTAGGTGGGCCATAATCATCAATCAAGGAGTAAACAACAAAAAGACAATAGACTATTTTAATTAAATAACTTTTATATGGATGTTTGAAATTTAAATTTGAATAATTGAAGTGGGGAAGGTATCTAATTAAATATTTATCCAACAATTTGATAAATACAATTCGCATAATAATCACCTTAGCCATACAATAATATTGCTTATATTAACCAGAATAGTTATAGTTATTTATAACAAATTCGGAGTATTATACAAAGTGGAGTTCAAATTTATCATAAATTAATCAAATAAAATTGATGTCTGAATATTTAAATGTACAATTTGAATAAAATTTATAAAAAGGTAAATCTATTTAAGTTGTACATAGATGATTCATTCAAATTAAAAATCTCAAATAGTTATTCGATCAATTTGACTAAAGTTGCTTCAATTAAATGATGACTTTTCTATGACTATTTGAATTTGAATTTTGAGATTGGAGATAGATTTTATCTATGGCAATGTTTATCCAATATCAGTCAAACTATATCTCTATGCATATTTCACGCTAGACTTTACCAGTCTCAAACAGTTAAAAATTTGAATATATTCCCTCTTTGAGCGGTACAGCAAACTTCAAACTCACTGGAGAGTTCACAGGGCACTTTCCTTTCTATACTCTGATAGATAGATATGGAAATCGCATCAGGTCCCTTCACTTCCTGCTCCAAAGAGCAGCAGAAACTGTTTCAGGACTGGTTTAACTTCGCCGATTCAGGTATTTACGCTTCGATCGTTTTTTTCTTTTTTCCGACTTCACTTTCCATTTTCGATTATTTATGAAATGTTAGCTGTCAATCTCTTGATTCTCTATGTTCTGGTGCAGATGGAGATGGTCGGGTTACTGGAAATGATGCGACCAAGCTTTTTGGCATGTCGGATCTTAGTAAGCCTCAACTCAAGCAGGTAGTCACTCGTAGCTTTAGGCCTTTAGCATTTTTGTATGGATATGTGTATGCAAAGCTTCGTTGCTCTCGTTTGATGTAGAATCCTAAGTGTGATGCTTATTGAAATGGTTACTTTTTTGAGCTATTGCAGATTGGTTTGCTTGTTCATATGTTTAGCTTTTGAATTGTGCTATTGATTTCCATTTATATGTTTAGGATTTTCAGATTCTCTTGTTTAAATTGGTATGAGGAAGACTTTTTGTGACTTTATTTTAAAGTGATCGTATAAGGGGTGATGTACTGATGTATCTGCAAATGCCTAAGGAAATTGCACTAAATAAATAAGTAGAAATATTCCTTCAAATTTACATTCAATCAGGCAAAAATGGCCGCTATCTCAAAGGTTTCTCACTTGGCTATGTGATATAGTGATTGCACAGTTTTCTGGTTCTTTAGGTTTCTGCCTAGTTTATCACTCAATCTTACTCCTCTTCTATGATTGGTGAGTATAGGTTTGGGCTCTTGCTGATTCCAAACGACAAGGGTTTTTAGGCATCAATGAGTTTACTACTGCCATGCAGGTAATTTGCTTGCTTTAATTTGTTCCCTTATACATTAATGTCCATGATTCTAAGTAAGTATCTTCAATTATATGTGGTATTGTAGTTGATATCTTTGGCACAAGAAGGGGAAGAGCTAAACTCAGATCTCCTCAACCTTAAGACTGCAGGCAAGTGGATTGATGTGTAGTTATCTTCACATGTTAAATTTTGGCTCTAGTTGAAGCAGATAATTGACCTGGTTATTCTTTTAAATCCAAACTTAATTGTGTGCAGATCTGTGGTGTGCAAATACTCTTGTCAATTGAATGTTATTCTTTGAACTAAACTGATCTTCTCTTTTTTTTATCTCTTTCGTTTGTTGGTTTTTGTAGCTGGTGTGAGCCCTCCAACCATGAAAGATTTGGATGCTTTACTTGCAGTAAGTGCTTCTCTAATTTTCCTTGATCTCCAGAATCCTTGGCCTGAAGGTTATTTAGTATAAACTTATGTTTTCTTTCATCCCAGAGTGCTAATGGTTCATCCCCGAATTCTAGTGGTTCACTAACAGAAAGCCCACCACAAACAAATGGTAGCAAGCCAGACACAAATGGTATGTTTAAAAGTTTGCCATTTATCTATCTGTACTTAAAATGAAGTTATATATGTTCAACATGTGCTTTATTCCTTAAAAGAAAGGATTTCAGTAAGTTCCCCCATAAATTTCTAACAAAAAAGTAATGTAGGAACTACACCGCTGCGGCCGATACCATTAAATATACCGCTGCGGCCGATACCATCAATCAAAATGTTCAGCTCAAGATCTTCTAGAAAGAAGGCAAGTTTCCATCCCATTGAATTGTTCTTAACTCCAAAATCTCTCCTTACTGCTGTTAACAAACGCTTTTCCTTCACCTCACTGTTTTCATTGACACAATGCTCGGTTTTCTGGACTGGACTTCTGTACACTACTACAATATGGTAGCTACAAGTGGCAGTAAAGTATTTTCCAGCCAAAATTTTATCTGCAATGCATATTGACACAAGAATATGTGAATATTTATTATTTGTTCTCTTGAATCCTGATTCCTTTCTTCTTGTTTGCTTCAGGTTCAACCTTCTCTTACTGCTGTCACTTCTGTAATTGACGGTTTAAAGAGATTATACAATGCAAAGTTGAAGCCACTGGAAGTTACATATCGTTTCAATGATTTTGTGTCACCAGTATTGGTAAGTGGATTAAGATAGAATGCCTATATTTCTTTAGAAAGAATTATTTGCCTATTTTTTGTGAATTTGTATTGTACTTTAGCTCATTATGCCTTTTGCTGTTTTTCTTGTAGACGGATAGTGATTTTGATGCTAAACCCATGATCATGCTTTTGGGTCAATACTCAACTGGGAAAACCACATTCATTAAGCACCTATTGAAGTGCAGCTATCCAGGTTAGTCATATTCTTATCTGTTTTCTCAGTTTCACATACAATAAAGTATTAAATATTCCAATTTTAAGTGAATTTCTTTTCTATAAAACAGGAGCTCACATTGGACCAGAGCCAACTACTGATAGATTTATTGTTGTTACGGTAAAAAACTATTTTAAGATTGCTCACTTGAGAACAGAATATTGTTGTGTTTGATAAGCACTCAACAAATTATGCCTAAAGTTTGCATTTTCCTTTGGATGCTATAATTTTTATAGTCTGGGCCAGATGAAAGGAGCATTCCAGGAAACACCGTTGCTGTTCATGCAGACATGCCATTTACAGGTTTGAGTACATTTGGAGGAGCATTTTTGTCGAAATTTGAATGTTCACAGATGCCACATCCAGTAAGCTAAATAACCTTTTGTTTTTTTTTGCCCTAATATAAAATATTAAATTCTGTGTTACTTAATATTCAAATTCTGTGATTTACAGCTCCTTGAACATTTTTCATTTGTGGATACTCCTGGTGTCTTATCTGGAGAGAAGCAAAGGACCCAACGAAGTTATGATTTCACTGGTGTTATATCATGGTTTGCTGCGAAATGTGACCTCATTCTTCTCTTATTTGATCCTCACAAACTTGACATTAGTGATGAATTCAAACGTGTTATATCATCTCTACGTGGTCATGATGACAAAATCCGTGTTGTGTTGAATAAGGCAGACCAAGTTGATACCCAACAAGTAAGATGAATAGTAATTGCATATTTGCATAGTCTATTTACTTTCTTAACTCACAATCGTTTACTTCAATGTGAACTTCACATATTTATTTATTTTTTTACAGCTGATGAGAGTTTATGGTGCGTTAATGTGGTCCCTTGGCAAAGTTCTGAACACACCAGAGGTTGTGCGAGTCTATATAGGGTACGCTCAGGCTTTCTCCCCATACTTAGATCAAACATACCAGGAAGGTGTTAGCCTGGTTGGATATTTTTTTAAAAAAATTTTTATTTAACATTTATGCAATGTGCAATTATTTGGTGGTTACTTTTGTTTATGTCTTTGACTTGGTGTTTCAGTTCCTTCAATGACAAGCCTGTTAAGGAAGATACTGATTATATGGGGAAGGATCTTTTCGAGAAAGAGCAAGATGACTTGCTTGAAGACCTGATTGATATTCCTAAAAAAGCTTGTGATCGTAAGGTAAGGTTACCTCCATAGGTGTAGTAAACTAAGATATATGTGTGCATATATTTATACAAAGTTTTTCATTTTCAGATCAACGAATTTGTGAAACGCGCTAGAGATGCTAAGATACATGCCTACATAATCAGCCATCTCAAGAAAGAGATGCCAGCATTGATGGGGAAATCTAAAGCACAGAAGCGCCTCGTTGCTAACCTTGAAACTGTATTTGCAGAGGTTAGTCTCTTTGTCTCCCTCTAATGCCATGATACTATGACAGTAGGGATCCTAGGATTTTCCTCTGTTATTTGCTTATCTCAAATTGTGTTTTGAGAATACAGGTTCAAAGAGAGTTTCATTTACCAGTGGGCGATTTTCCTAGCGTGGATCACTTTAGGGAGGTTCTGATGCGCTACAGTATAGAAGATTTTGAGAAGTTGAAGCCTAAGATGATTCACGGAGTGGATGAAATGCTGGGCTATGACATTCCAGATCTCCTCAAGAGCTTGAGAAACCCTTATGATTAAATCATAGACACACTAGAACTTCAAGAATGTTTGAAGTGAGTGAACAAACTGCAATAAGAATACTGCTTTATTCTCATAGGAATTAGTGCAATTGGATTTTGAATCTCCTAGAGTCCTAGATTTGTACTAGCTTGTTTTGAGTGTCTATTTTTCCTTTGCATATTTTTTTGGAATTCCATGATTTTCAGCGTTTTCAGCGCTGTTTTGTCACTTCTGTACATGAGTACAATATAGTTTTAGCTCAATCTTTTATGCATTTTAGCGTTCATATCTTACGGCCATGTCTTTCCTCATCAACAAGATAATATAAATGTGTGTGCACATACACTTTAGTTGAATTTTGTATTTACAGTTAACACATTTTATACTTGCAGTTAATCGTTTTGTTTATATACTTGTAAATAATTGAAAGCACATCACATCACATAATAATTATAGACATAACATATATATATATATATATATATATATATATATATATATATATATATATATATACTTTTTGAATCAATGTTATAATGTAATTTGAACTCTGATTTATAGTATTACAATTGAGTAAATTGTGAAAAATGATACAAAATCAAGAATGCGTTGTGATAGGCTATTAGGCAAGAAAAATACAAATATTTTCATTTCTTATGCTTATGTTTAGACATGTTAATATAAAAATATGTACCTATAGCCCCAAAGAACATAATTTTCATACAAAAGAAAATTTTATTAACACTTTTCTTGATTAAGATTATCAGACAATGTCTTTTTAGTACATTCATTTTGATTTTGACATTTAAAGATTTAGGACATCCTTAATTGTAATTTTTCATGTGATTTTTGAGAAAATAAATTTATGTAGAAGAGAGATAATATCTTGATTTTTATCACAATTGTCAACCAATAATTACACTAATTTCCATTTAGCTTCATCATTAATCATTATCATTCAATAATCATTGCCTTATTTTTTTATTTTTTATTTTCCTCTAGTTACACAGACAAAAATTTCTCAAAATTTACCATTATTGGGATGATCTTAAAAGGGAAACAGCGTGAATGCAGGAAATAGGAATTTCTATACCGACAAAATTTCTTGGAAGTGAACTTATCCAATAACAGAGGGGGAGCCCGGCCGGCGCTATAAAGTACGCAGAGACCTCGTTCAGATCGTACATAGGTTTGGTCTAGTCTAAGTTTTGTTGTTTCCGAGGACAAAGCAGGAACGAATGGACAAGTTCGGTAAGAGATTTCAAGGGAAGGTGGCGATTGTCACGGCTTCAACACAAGGGATCGGCTTCGGAATCGCCGAACGCCTAGGTTTAGAAGGCGCCTCCGTCGTCATCTCCTCTCGCAAACAGGTTTCTTTTCAGTCTCCGACAGTAAATCTAGTTTCGGTCTCTTCGATTTTACCAAAACTTGGTTGCATATTCGTACAATTTGATCCTCGGAATTCCTTAATTATGTTGTTCAGACAAGAACTTAGGTTTTGTATTTTCATGGGTAGGGAGTGTAACTTGTTACTTGTGTGTTGTAATGCAGAAAAATGTGGATGAAGCAGTGGAGAGTTTGAGGAGTAAAGGGATTGAAGCGTTGGGATTAGTTTGCCATGTGTCCAATGCACTGCACAGGAAGAATTTGATAGAGAAGACTATTCAGGTAATTGTGGTATCTCTGAATGTTCCTGGATCATTAACCTTAATATCATCAAGCTGTTCCATAAACTTTTGATCTTGACTATAAAGGATCACAATGAGATAAACTAGTCTATATGCCCATAGTTAACCAGTTCAAACGAAGAAGGCCAATAGATTACTCCTGTTCGGAGTTAAACTATGTTAATTGTCTGACCAACTTGGTTGTGGTTGCCCTGTCTTTAAGATTTCTTGTAGTACTGTCAACTGTGTATCGTTCTCTCAGGCCATGGGACAGTAACTATGTCTTTCATCATGTAATAAGAAGTACAAAGTCTTACTAACTAGGTAAAACTACTACTTGCATGTTGTGCTTTTAAGGATGTTTCCAATTCCAGGTCAGGTAAACATTCAGATGAGAAAGTAGTTGGCCTAAGTACAAGTTTTAGATGTTAGTTAATCACTTCGTACTGTATTGTCTAAGTTGGATCAATCCATTTCGTACTGTCTATATCGTTTGGTGAGTTCTTTTATTTGTCGCGTTTTTACTGTGATGCACTTACACCTTCATTGCCAGAGAATATGTCATGCTGGAGCCTTCCACATTATGTCCAACCTATTGTAATTATTGGAACGCGTTTTAGATGTTTAAACTAGGGTCTGTTATATCTTGGCTATGAGATGTTTGTTCCCGGACTGCTATATATATATATATATATATATATATATATAGTTCAAAGAAGTCCAGCTTTCTTAAGAGAAACATTGTGGTTATTTGTTTTCTCCAGAGATATGGAAGGATAGATGTGATTGTGTCCAATGCTGCTGCCAACCCGTCTGTAGAACCAATCTTGAATACTAAAGAATCGGTCCTTGACAAGCTATGGGAGATCAACGTGAAAGCCTCTATACTATTATTGCAAGTAAGTCTGCCTTTTCAAATTAAGTTCAACGTGGAAAGAGTCTGATGGCGTTATCTTTACAATACAAGATTTATCAAGGAATCTGGGTGGTTGTTACCACTTTATTCAGATTGATCGTAATTTTTAATTTTGTATTGTGTAACCCTTTTAATTTTTTTTTTTGACAGGATGCAGCTCCTCATCTGCAGAAAGGTTCATCTGTTATTTTCATTTCCTCTATTGCTGGCTTCAATCCCCCTCCTGCAATGTCGATGTATGGAGTGACAAAAACTGCCCTTTTCGGGCTTACCAAGGTAACTATATTTCTTGCCACTTATGTTTTACTGAATGGTTATATGTCTAAATTTCATTCTCACAAATCGCGTTTCAGGCTATTGCTGCTGAACTGGCCCCGAATACTCGTGTTAACTGCATATCGCCTGGTTTTGTGCCCACGAATTTCGCATCTTTCATAACAAGCAACAATGAAATGGTGAGTTTTTCAAATTTTCAATCACAACATGCCCTTCTTCTCTGACCTTAACCATTGCACAGATTAACTCATTACTTTGAACTGTTTATCAGAGGAAAGCCCTTGAGGAAAAGACACTACTCAACAGACTAGGAGAGGTGGGAGACATGGCGGCTGCCGCCGCCTTCTTGGCATCCGACGAAGCTTCCTACATAACCGGAGAAAATCTGGTAGTTGCTGGAGGGCAGCCTTCCAGACTCTAAGATCCATCTTCTTTGATTCCTGGCAATCTCCCTGCAAGTTCTTTTATATAATATATCTCAACAATCAATCCAATAAGAATTCATGAATATGATGATATCAAGTCATGTTTTGTAGTATACAGCTTAGCTTTTCATAATCAGAAATAAAGCAAAGATTGTTATTACAAAGAATTTTAAGTTTCATCTTGAATTATTGAAAGGGCAAAGACTGGATAATTTACATAGAATGTGGAATGTGATACTCAGGGGAGGAACACTTTTCTTGCCTCTCCTGTGTGGTTGTGGACCACTATAACAAAGCTTTAACTCAACAATAACACATCAGGGCCCTCCATTTCTTCACTCTTAAGGCCAAATGTACATAGATCGTAAAATCCTCCATATAAGTGTAAAGGACTCGCCATTGTCCTACCGCCACACGAGATCCATAGTTTGAGAAAGCGTTTGCCAAAATCTAGACGGGAATTACATCAGAATTCTGGGTTTCGTCGCATGCCAAGACCAGAGCTTCGATGTTGGTCAGGGGAAGACACCGAGCCCATTGACAACCCGTTGATACTGCTTCACCCGGTGGAACAATCATTAGCACATTAGCGTGGCGTCTAACAACACCCATCACGCTCACAGTGCTGCCTTCTTTGATGTAGCTGTGTTGTAACGAGCAGTCATTCAAAATCAGTACGACAATAGAAACTGTAGCACTCAATAGCCTTTTTTTTTTCAGAATTGCATAGATTTGAGGAGCGTAAGAGTTAATTTCACTTTTGGTTCTATGACTATTGTAGTCTTGTTAATTTCAATTCACGACTTTCAAAACTGTCAATTTACTACCTTAACTATTCAATTTTGGTCAATCCAGCCAAATTGCCAGTCAAAGCTCACCGGAAAATAATAACAAGTAAAATAATGAGGGTATTTTAAAGAAGAAATAAAAGGGGAGTAAAAAGACTAAAATACCCTCTTTATTTTACCTATTAATATTTTCCGGTGAGTTTTGGCCGGAGTGACCAAAATTGAGTAATTAAGGTACTAAATTGACAGTTTTAAAAGGTGTGGATTGAAATTAACCAGACTCCAATAGTCATAGGACCAAAAGTGAAATTAACTCAAGAGTGTAAAAGTAAACTCATGGCTTACCCTTCCTTGAGGCGCATGATGCGGTCATCACTTGAGAGGTTTCTATCGGAAAGCCACTGCAAGAAATTTGGAGATAGGTCTCTGTTGCTCTTGGTTACGTCGACAACTGTTGATGGTTTGACAAATGGAGAAACCTTGGCTCCATAGCCTGCTTTCACCAGAGCTCTTAAGCCAGACTGGAAGTCTGATATGTAAAAGTCGGCCACAAATTTCTGTCAATAAAAAGGAAAAGAACACCATGAATTCCAAAGGAACTTCCAAGCATATGTGTTGCCCAGCGGGGCTCCACATATGCTGCATAGGAGCTCTCGTTATTGCCCCACATTTTTAACTAACACCATTTTATCAACTAGAGCAGGGATTTAATCAGCCTCAGAAACTAGGTGGAATCATATTTACCCAAAGAGTAGTTTTAAAAACTTAAAACTGTCAAAGCACACCGACACTGCATGCATATTATCAAACGAGTATATCTAACCAACCTCAGAATGCCTTCGTCCCCACGAGAAGAATCTGTGTTTAGAATTTGAAGGCTTTCCACCCCAACCTCTGTACTCATACAATTCTGTGGAAACATATACACATCTTGGTGTCCTCTGAAACGAGGTTTCAAGTGGAATACTGCCACAAGTGACAACCTGCAAAAGCATTCAGGTGGTAAATGTCAGCGACTTGGTGTCATGAGCATTAATAATCTACACTGCGAGTCTGCGATAATTATATTAAGTGTAGCTAACTCCAACATCAGGAGCATGCCATTACTACTCAGCCATAAACATTACACGGTTGTAAAGAGAGCTAACACAATTGCAGGAATGGAATCGGAGTAAATTTGAAATTCTAAGAGACCATTCCAAATACATCAGATTATTCAGTCGTTTAGAGCATTAGAGACGAGAATTAAGTTTGGAAATGAGCATGGGAAAAGGTTAGGCAGTACAATAAAGAATAATATACTACAAATATTGGCAACATGTTTCTATAATCATACGAGTCAGGAGTTGGTTTAAATTCCCAACCCCCAGTGATGTACCCAAGAATATTGGGCTCATGATCTGTTAGCCATAACTTCTAGAGGAAGAATTCCTTCTCGGTAGCCTTTCAAAGACATTTGGGGTGGAAAAGGAAAGGAATGCCAAGGGGGGGAAATATTAAGACCTTCCCCTCCTTACTGCACTTCTACAAGCAACACCGTTATTTTTAACTCCAATATGATACCTGAAAAAGACGAAAAACTGCCACCGCTTCTTCATTTTTTCCCATTTTAACTTGCCACCGTCATTCCCTTTTCTCTAATTGTCACACTAGGTTTACAAGAGAAGCCACAGAAAGACACGAATACAAGGCTTATACCGCCCCCACTCCCAAACAAAATAGCCTAACCAACAAAGCATAGAGCTAAAATTTTCTACGGTTACAGGGATGGGCAGCTCAGTTAGTTCCTGGGTAGATTGTGAGCAATGACACAGGATCGGGCCGAGGTGTGGGCGAGCAAATTTCCCCTTTTGTAGGCAAAATTTTCTAGGGTTACATCACTGCCATGCTTCTTTTTGTCTTTTTCTTCTTTAGTAGTTTCCAAAGTTCCATGTTTTAAACAAGCACAAGAATACGACATAAAGAATCTAAGTGAAACTGATGGTAAACGCAATTCAATCTTACAAATAAGAATTTTGCAGTTGAAAGGTTGGGCCTAGTACACAAGATTCCTGTAAATGCAATTGTTCTGGGAAAGAACATGTCTGCAAATCTGCAATTTTGTTCAGCTTCTAACCCAAGACTTATTGACCCTAAGGTCTTTATACTAGCATTTGGCCCCTACACTATTCACAACAGCGACAAGTAAAGCAAAATATTAATTGGAATAAATATTACACCTACCACTCAAGCAAATTGTCAATAGCATCAAAATCTTGATGTTGAAGGGTGAGAAGCTAAAAGCCTAAAAGCAACAATCTTTAACATCTAAGCTCAATTAACAACCGCAAAACACAAATTATGCGGGAGATTAAGGAAAGGAATAGAGTGAATTACCCCGGTGACCTTGACGTACTGTCCATCGACGGCGCCTCTAAGCTCGGCGTCGGGAAATTTCTTGAGAAACCCCAATGAGCCTCGCGGCTTCACTTCCTTAACCAGTCTAGTGACGGCGGAGCTGTAGAGCTTCTTGTTGAAGGAAGCGGAGGGCTCGGGCTGGACGGCGCGGCCGGCGCCGCCGCCGCTGGAATCGAGCGGGCCGGAGTTGGAAGTGATGAGGCCAGTGGGCTGGATGGGAGTCGGGCCGGAGAAGGAGGACGATTTCTTGGGGATCGTGCCGGAGTTGTTTGACTTGTGGCCCTGCTGACCCGAGTTGGGCCTGGATCTGACGGCTCCACCGCTGTGCTGCGACGACGACGACGGCGCTCTGGACGCCGGCTTGTGCACGTACGGCCCGCTCCCCGACTCTATTCCGTACATTTTCCCTAACTCCCCTGATTTCTTCACGTCTCCGCCGGTGTAAGGCATCGCCCGCGACGCCATGGTGGGCGGCCGCTCCTTCGCCTGCTCGGGTCGACCCGACACGTACAGCCCATTCTTCAGCTGGTGCGACGCCGTCCGCATCCCCATTTTTTCCGGCGAGTAAAAACCGCAGCCGAGCGATAGAGAGAGAGAGAGAGAAAGAGTGTCTCTGTGTGTGCTTTTTTCTGAGTCGGTGGAAAAATGGAAACGCAGGAGACTAGAAAGGGAGAGCTGGTAGCCCTTTTTTTGAGTGACTATTATTATTATTATTATTTTTTGGAAATCTTTTTTTGAGTGATTATAAACTCACAATTACTATGTGAAGATGAATGTGAATGTGTAAATTATGATCTATTTAATAAATGATTGTTAGCTAATTTGATAAATTAGAAAGTATAAATAGTTTATAACATTAGGTAGAAATGTGTTTAGTAAATGAGCATCTGATAGTTATTTGGTATGATTTCTTTCTTTAAGGGGTCGTTTGGTTCACGGAATGTTAGATTACCTTAGGGAATGTTAGATTGCTGGGAATGTTAGATTACTGGGAATGTTAGATTTCAGTGTTTGGTTAAAATTGAGGTATGTAATATAATCATGTTTGGTTTAGGGTTATCTTTTATTCACACACACATATTTTCATATATTTTAATAAATTTAAAAATTAAAATAAATAAATAAAATAACGGTATCATATATAATTACATGATTTTAAAATATTAACTAAAATATTGAACTTGAGAAACAAAATTATTTTATATGCTAACCTAACATAATAAAAATAAAAAATATATAATTACAAAAATAATTTTTTTTATATATATGTGTGTGTGTAATAAACTAACATAACCAAAGTTATCTTACATAACCTTAGAAATTGAAGGGAATCACATTCCCTTCAAAATCCTACGTGGAGGGAATGTGACATTCCTGGGGAATGTTAGATTCCCTGAGATAACGTGAACCAAACATAGGAATGTGAGCTTTGGAATGTCACATTCCCTTGGTTATGTTATATAACCTGAACCAAACGCCCCCTAAAGAGTTAATTGAAAAAGTTATTTTGAGCAGTTTTTTAAAATTTAGCATTTTGTAAGAGTTGCAAGAAGTTAATTAACCAAACACTTATATTGATTTTTAACTAAGTTAAATAATTAATAGTGGTCAAAAATCTAACTATTTTACCAAACAAGGAATATATAAACTTTACATGGTAATCTTAGTCGTCAAAAATCAACAAACATCAAGTAAATCTCGCGTTGTGATTTTAGTCGACAAAGATTGGTAAGTGGTAAGTTAGTCTAAGATGTTCATAGTTGACTGAATCAAATCAAGAAAGTTAATAAATTACTTAAGTTAAAAGTCAAATTTATAATTTTATGATCACTTAATTAATAGTTGTCCATATACATATAAACCAGTATAAATTATTTATAGTTGAATGACTTAAATCAAGAAAGTTAATAAATTTATAAATTATTTTTGTTAAAAATCAAATTTATAATTATTTAAATAATAGTTGGATGAACTTGATTAGGATTATTCTAAAAATTGCCTGCTTGTACGGCGGATTGCATGTGTAGAAAAGACAGTAAAGCAGCACTGAGAGGTGGCGAAAATGACATTTCTGCCCCTCCTCTCTTAGTCAAGATTCCAACCTGTGCCCGCGCTGTATTTAACAAACTGGAGCTGAATTCGCTTCAGGTAGTTGGCGCCAATGATAATTGGCGGGGACGGAGTGAATTTCCTCTCCTGCCCTCGTTGTTTTATGTTATTTACACAAAATGCCATTTCATGGAAATATTCTATACATCATCTATCTTGTCTCGATCAAGTTAACAACAATGCAAAAGATATATATAGAATTACATAATGATTGAGAAATTATACTCATTTTCAATATAAAAAGATGTTACAATATTATAAGTAAAAATACTATCTACACTCAATATTATATAAAAAATAATTCGATACAAAAAGTGTTGACAATAATTAAATTTGTAATCTTTTAATGGACAGAAGGTTGAATCCTCAAATCCACTTTTTTCAAATAATGTCTACTAAAACAACTGAAACACAAAGAGCTAATAATGCCTCCACTGAGGCTCGAACTCACAACCTTCTAAATAGAAGTCCAACCCGGATACCATTGGACCACATAGTCCTGGTGAACCAGTAAGCTAAAACATGTGTGAGCAATTAATATTATCTACTGAATCAGTGAACTAAAGCATGTGCGAGGAATAAGGCAATTAACTTGGTTTATATGATAATAATTACATTTGAGTCAATTAATTTTGAGTAAGTAAAATTAATTTACAGACAAATTTTATCCAAACACACATTCAGATTTCATAAATAAAGCAAGATTGAAAAAATCGTTAGGCACCATCTATGCGTCTGGGGACCGCCTAGGGCACTTAGAGCGACTAGGCGGGCGCCTAAGTGGTCGATCGTCTAACGCCTAAGTGTCAATTAATCAATGACTAGACCCGATTTTTGCAACACTGAAATAAAGTAAATAAGCCTATCAATGTGAAATGTAATCCTTATTTTCTTCAAATTTCTAGAAACATCACATTATAAAATTAAAATTGAAAAAAAAAACATTAAATCAAATGTGGTCTTATTAGTATTTTTGGGGGCCGTGTTGACTGTCGGTAGCAGAATGCTTTAGTAGGGTCCCGCCTTTAATTAAGTGGAACTCACAATTTTGGAGGCACATGTGGCGGTGGGCCCCACTTGTGTTTAAATAAACATTCTAGCCAATGCCGGGTTGCCGGGTGCGGCTAAGCAAATTGGACAGATTATTGGACCTCTGTTTGGGCCACCGCCATCATATTTGGGCTTAAAAGCCTCAATTCTTCAATCTGTAAATTGGCATCTTTCGTAGTTGGGCCACATTTAATGGGCCCATATCGTGGAAAATCTCTGACAGTTTCTGACACCAAAATGGAATTTCCACAAAACCCACAGAACACCGAGCAGTTTATTGTCCCATTCCATTTGGTCATACAATTGTACAATTTGTTTGTTTGTTGTTGTTTTTTTTTTTTTTTTTTTTTTTTTTTTTTTTTGGTTTTTAAATGACAATGAAAATCCCTATTGCCATCTTCACCGCAAACAACATCCGCCTTCACCGCCTCTTCCATTTCCACCGCTATCGATCATTACTCCTTTATTTTTGTACAATTATTTTCCTTTACTTTGTTTTACTGGTTTAATTTTGTTTGTAGTTTCTATTTTTTTTCTTCTCGTTGTTTTGACGAGTTTCTTCCTTTCGTTTACTTGGCGAGTTCTGTTTCATAAAGCGTGAAACGATAAAACTAGTCATGGCGTATGTGAATCTCATCCTAGGTGACAAACATGACAATGAAAAAGAGACTCATCTGAATTATATGTAGTTCAGCCCGATGGAAATATTGTCAATGGTTAGAAGAATGAAAATAAATACTCAGGTGGTCTCTTGCCATCGGGTTAAATCGACTACAACTAAGTAAGGCGCTAGGCAACCGAGTCAGTCACGTTAGGTATTAGGCGGGCGCCTAGAAAGAAAATCATCACAGTCTAAGGGCGTCTAGCGCCTAAATGAGCGCTTAGACGGATTTTTGCAATAGTGAATATGACATGACAATTTTCATTCCGGAGAGAATAGTATTAGGATGAACTTGCCTTAATCTTGTACAATAATCTATGCGGTGGCAATAATAGTTGCCATGGTCTTCACCACTGTTTGAACTAGTTTGTGTGGACACAACATATTCAACATTTTGTTTGACTTATTTCAGCACTGGAACAGTGAGTTGACCATCATTTGGTATACTTGGCAATTTATATATGGGTAAGACTAGGTCTAACCACAATTTTTGGAACGTAGTTTGAAAAAAAGTTGCAACCTAAATAGTACGAAAACGAGAAATAAAACTGGGAGAAATAGTAATAATTTGGGTATGTTACACTTAGAATGACAACGAGATAGATTTGAATTAGGATAACTATATTTATCACTTTATCTATTATATTTTGAGTTGAAACTTTTAATATTCATCGCACTTATTGATACGATTCATAATTACCTACTATAGAAATATGAATTACGGAGTAATATATAAGAGCAAGATTATTAGTTAGATTTTTTATTTGGGTTTTTGGTATAAATTTTTTTTTTGATGCCAAGTTGAAAAATAGTGGCTACTAGTTGAAGACCACTCGACGCACCTAGTGCACTCAGTTGTTGGGTGCGTTTCGTGTGCCAAAAGCAGCAAAGCGCGGCAATTTTATTTATTTATTTTTGTTTCTAAAAAATTATACATATTTTTTAGTAAAAAAATTCTTCAATTATCTATTATCATACATCTCTTTTCTAAATCAACACCGTTACCTCAAAAACTGAGGAAAATAATTACTCAATAAAAACTCTACAATTTGAGGGAAATATACTCATAAATTATTAATGTATTGAATATACAATATGCAAAATAATATACTTTCAATATTCAAATAATATACTTTTTATAAATATAATATATATATTTAATATATTAAAAGTAAATTATTTGTGTACGAAATATACTTTATTTGAAAATATACCGGATGTAAATTCAAAGGAAGATAGGCTCACCAAAGCAAGAAAAAAAGAGGCAGCCAAGCAGCAACATAGTTTTGACCACCTGGTAGTCAACTTTTGGAGTGACATGCGGTTAATAATATTTAATCTTAATTTAAGAAAAAAATGTTGTAATTTTCCAAAATTAAAAATAAAGAATAAATAAAAGAGTCAAAAAAGCCAGGCTACCATTGGGAAAAGGCATCAGTCAATATCACATCTCGAGGTGAGATGTTAATCTTTTTATGATTTCAACAAATTATTTTGATTATTACTTTCTTTTCTTGACCAAATCAAATAAAAAATTTTAAGAAAAATTATACGATGTCGAATCGAATTGATATAGAAATTTTGAAATTAAAAGGTACTCATTTAATGAAGTGTGGTTCATAATAATCGTGTTGTTAATCAATACAGTATATAAATTTTAAAATATAAAAAGTACCAAGTACTAATTTAATGAGGTTTATAATAGAGACGCTTTAAAACTCAATCTTAACCCTCATTAAACAAACGAATTTATATAAGAATCTTGCATAGTGTCAAAGTTCGCTAATGGCCTCTTTGGTTGGGCGTAATTTAGCTGTAGTTGAATTGTAATTCAGTGGAAGCTACAATTACGCCGTTTGGTTGGAGGGAATTGCAATTCCACAGAATTGCAATTCCCTCCTTTTGCTGAATTGCAATTCATGGGTACCCCCTATGAATTGCAATTAGGTGGTTGTGGGAAAAGGAAAAAGGGATGAAATGACAAAAGTACCCTTAATTATTACTACTATTATTATTATACAAGGGCATTTTAGTCTTTATATCACTTCTTTCATTCACTACCCGATAATTCTATTCATCCCTACCAAACAATGTAATTTGAATTCCTACTTTATTCCCACCTTATTCTTTTCCCACCGAATTGCAATTCCTTTCCACCCTCATTCCTTACTCCCAACCAAACGCCCTATAAGAGTATTTTTATTTTTTTTTTGTCAGATAATGAGGTGTCTTGAGTAGTCTCTAACGGTAAGAGGCACTTTTAATCCCGTACGGCTGTACCATACTTAGATTAATCATCGTTCGCACTGGATCGGCCTAATTAGGAGGCAAAGTACTGACCAGATTGATTTTTCCATACGAGAGCATGTTTGGTTGGATGAAAAAAGTTTCTTTAAATTTGAAGAAAATAGAATTCTCCTTTGTTTGGTTCATGGAAAACTTGTTCTTCATTAAATGTTTTCCTTAGTTTTGATGAAAAAGTTTTTCAATGGGAGGGGTAGTATATTGTTTTCCATGGAAGTTGGAAAAAAGTATCACATGATTGAACAATTTTGTCATTATTATTTTTATTATCATTATCATTGTCTAGGGTTATTTTAGTCTTTATACTTATTATTCTTTACCATTTCAATACCAACCAAACAACGGAATCAATATTCTCAGTAATTTCTTTTCCACCAATCAAACAATGGAACCAATCTTTCTGGTAATTTATTTTGCATGAAATTTTAATTTCATTTCCGCTCAAATATTTTTCGCAAACCAAACGGACCTAAGTGTTTACTATTATCATTTAATTTAAATATAAAGAATGAATAAATTAAATTAAACAAACGAAGACTATGTGGTTTAATGGTACCTGGGTTGGACTTCCATTTGGAAGGCTGTGAGTTTGAGTCTCAGGCGCTTATATTGCCTAATAATATTTCTTTTATCAATTAATTAGGACTACACATCAAATTGGTAAAACACTCGAGAATTTTGACCAAGTTAGAAGAGACTCAGTTTATCTCATTTAAATCACTATTGGTTATAAGTTTTTATACTTGCTAGTATTATATGTTTACTTCTCTGTTAAAAATGATACTCTAGTTAATAAAAATAAAAAAAAAACACGTAATTTTTTTTTTAATATTTGCATATTAAAAAGAGAACTATAGTCTTAATCGTGTTGGACAAAGAGACAGTACACATAATAGATAGATGCAAATGTACGATGTTGGTGGAGTGCTAAATGTAAGGTGAGAAGAATGATGTTGGGACAATGGATTTCTGATACGAAATTGACAAAATAAATAATAAAGATTATAAAATAGGGTTGCATGCATCATGCCCCATAATGGATCTCAGCAGCCATAAAAATCTCTAATATTGCCACTGCAACATGTTTTTCCAATTTTTTTTTTAATGACGAGATTTTATTATTATTATTATTATTATTTAAAAGTATGCTCTATGTAAATTTTATTTATGTAATAGATTTTCTTTTTCAAAATTTGTACACCTACATATTATCTCAAATTGTATCATATATTATTGAGAACTCGATCATGGGATTCACCGTGAATATAGGGAATACAGATAGTTTCTCTGTCAAACTGTGGAACCTAAGAGAGTTTACGGCTCAACAGAAAAATGAATTTTCATAAACTTTGCATTGAACTTTATTCTGAATTGAAACTGTTGTTCAGGTGATGAAGGAAACTCTTTCCTCCCTAATCATGGACTATAAATTTTTTGCTTAAAGCTGTAAATGTGTGTTCTCCCACGTGCTGAGGAAAGGAAACAAATTAACGCCAACATTATAACTGTGTACTATCAACACTTTAAAATAAATCATATATATAAAGTATACCGCCAACATTATAACATTGTCAAATACAATTTAAATAATTAAAAGACTAAATATACATTTCAATTATAACTAAATGACTAATTTACATTTTAAATCATAACTAAAAGATTGAAGTGTCATTTTATCTTTTATTTATGTACCTAATAAAATCGGTAAGAGTAAGTGTAAGGGTATGATGCAACTATGCAAGGGATATTTTTATTTTTTATTTCTTATTGGCAATATAAAATACAATGCTGATACACAACAGATTCCTATAAGTTAAAATAAATATTTCTTGGATTAATCGATTTGATTTGAGCCAGTCAATTATAAATTGTGATTGTGAAACTTTATATATATATATATATATATATATATAAATTAAAAATAAATGGTTCATATATTGATATATATATTACAGCAATCATAATTTTTTGTTAATTTTTTTATAAATACTTTTAGTAGCAAGAAATTATTCATTAATATTTGATAGGTACTAATTTCAATTGCCAAATACAAGTTTACAACTTTCCGTACTCCATAGCTATTGGTTACCCTCAAGTTACCCACTTACCCATACTCCATAGATACTCATTACTTGTAAGTTATAGCAAATTCACAAGAATTAATTAATATCTAAAATTGTCAATTTTCAAATTCAAGAGTTTTATTATTGCTTTTATTTGGAATAAGGTTCAAATTGACTACTGAATGTAACTTGAAAATGTAATTAGACTACTAAATAAAAAAAGAGTGCAATTAAGTCACTGAAAATTCCAAAAACGTATAATTAGGTCATTGAACACTCCAAATGTATGCAATTTCACTGAATAGCAGGTTACCATCAATTTTAGCAAATTACCTGTTTACGTGGCAATTGAATTGATATTTTAAATAATTTTTAATAAAAAAATTTTTAAAAATAAAATAAAACGACGGAATGACCGCCGGCCACCCCCTTCTCGCTCCTTCGTCTCTGCCCGAAGAAGGAGGGGGAAGGGGGTGGCCGGTGTCGTTTTTTTTTTTTTAAAAAATTATTATTAAAAATATCAATTCAGCTGACACGTAAGCAGGTAACTTGCTAAAATTGATGATAACCTGATATCATGTGAAATTGCATACATTTAGGGGGCGTTTGGTTCAGGTTATATAACATAACCAAGGGAATGTGACATTCCAAAGCTCACATTCCTATGTTTGGTTCACACTATCTGAGTGAATCTAACATTCCCCACACATTCCCTCCACATAGGATTTTGAAGGGAATCACAATTTCTAAGGTTATATAAGATAACCTTGGTTATGTTAGTTTATTACACACACACATATAATTATTTTTGTAATTATATATTTTTTATTTTTATTATCTTAGGTTAGCATATAAAATAATTTTGTTTCTCAAGTTCAATATTTTAGTTAATATTTTAAAATCATGTAATTATATATGATACTGTTATCTTATTTATTTATTTTAATTTTTAAATTTATTAAAATATATGAAAATATGTTAAAGATATTATATTGTGTGAATAAAAGATAACCCTAAACCAAACATGATTATATTACATACCTCAATTTTAACTAAACACGAGAATCTAACATTCCCAGTAATCTAACATTCCCTAAGGTAATATGACATTCTGTGAACCAAACAACCCCTTAGAGTGTTTAGTGACCTAATTGTACTTTTTTTTTGTTCAATAACATGTGTATTTTCAGGTTACGTTCAGTTGCCAATTTAAAACTTATTTCCTTTTGTTTTGGTCACGTTTGATAAAATAATTAGCATATTAATTAATTTTGATTTATTTGATTATTATTGACTTAATTATATAATAAGTATTTAATTAATTAACTTTTGATAATAATTTATTGTTTCAACTTGTTAAAATTTACAAAGCTATTCAAAATATTCTTTTCAATCAACTTTTTTAAAAAATTCATTTTTCATATAATATAACAATTAATTTTCCAAACACTAACTAGTTAAATCACTAACCCAATCACCTATACCAAACACCCCTTTGTAATTATGCATAACTAGATATTAATCTGCAGCCTAACTGGTATGAAGAAGAAGAAAGATGACAGGAGATTTATTTGTGTTAGTATCATCTGACAACCTAAACCCAGGTTTATTCAAGCAAGAAATCTAATATGCAGTTCAAGCAAATAACATTAAAGATTAAACTTTTTTTTTTTTCTGGGAATTTGATGATTCAAAACCAGGCATATTTTACATGGCGACCACGCCGTATTTTACACAACCCAGAAAAAAAGGAGACGATGAAGATGATGAGCAGAGAAATATGGGCGACCGACCTCGAGAGATTTTTCAGGTCCAAATCGTTGTCCAGATTCTCTCTCCCAGAAAGCTGACAATCCTTCTGACGGCGCCTTTCTCGCCGTCGCCGCCATCTTCCTCCTCCTCCTCTCCGCTACTGTCGTTGGCGCGGCGGTGCTCGGCGGAGGCGTTGGTTAAGCTCACCTCCGGCTTCGTTTTCGCCTCGGCCGGACAGCCGGCGGACCCTTTGCTGCCATTGTTGTTGGCCTTGCTCCTTCTCTTCTCCCTCCTGTTTTTCTTGCTCTGCAACTGCAGCCCGTCCTCATAAGCGTCGATGATTTCGTGGATGAGCTGCCGGTTCGGCGACGAGTCCCACCTCACCCAGTAGCTCATGTAGCAGCTGAAGCAGTTGCAGTTGAAGCAGGGAGGGTGGTCGGCTGCGGCGGCGCCGCCTTTTCTACTCCCCCTGGAGTTTGCAGAAGAGCAGGAGATGAGATAGGCCAAGACTTCTTTATCTTCTTGGCAGAGGGCCGCGGCGAGCGTCAAGATTGCGGCCGGTAAAAACGCCAGGTGGTCGGAGACCAGCGGTGGCGTTGGGTGAACTGTGCCTCTCCGGTAAAGCTTTTTCATGGCGGTGGCGGAGGGAGGGTTTGGGGATTGAAGATGGGATGGGGGGTGTTGTTTGCGAAGAAAAAGAGGGAAGAGAGCATAGAAGTTGATGATATATTTTTGTGGGTTGGTAAATGTGAAGGCTAAAGAATGGGGTTTATTCCTCTGCGGCGATGTGTATGTTGCAGACCTGTGGGTCCCCACTATCAATGGAAGTGAAACTTTGATTGGTCTTGTCAATGCTTATTCCTACTAGACAATAGTTGAATTGGTTTATTAATTGTTTAACTTCTTGATTTGGATTGTTAAATTATAAGTAATGCAAGTTGATTATTTCTTTGTGACTTGGCCATAATAATGTTAGAGCATTCACATTAGTTTAATTTTGATGTGATTTATGAGAAATTTTTGTAAGAATGATTAAGAAAGAGAAGATAAAAGTTGAGAAAAAAAAAAAAGAAAAAAATAATAATAATAAATAGTGCGTCAACTGCACGCCTGACGCGCCACACGGGCACGTGCACTGCACGCGCCCATGTGGCCATTCGTTGTGCGCGAAAATGCGCACAACATATGTTGTTTTCATTGCACTGGTATTGTTCTAATATTTGGGTTCTTGTAGAAGCAACCTATTTCTTTTATCTCTCCATGTCATCACTAATTGTACTATAAACCTCTAATTCTTCACTTATAATGTTGCTCTTATCGTAGAGTATTTGTATATATCGGAACATAGACAAATTGTATTGTTATAATTTGCGTACAAATTTCAAAGTGTGTTCCCCACCTTTCACAGGAGTCTAGGTTTTATAGTGTGGAACTGTGGATGACTACAAAACAACGGTTACAGTAATAATAGCAAATGTCCCCTAATAAGTACAATGAACCTGCTCGCCTGCTATGGGGCCGTTACTTTTTTATTGTCTTTCACTACTTTGACGGGTTAGATCAAGAGTAATATGTCTCGAGTTCAATACTTTATCTATTTGTCATGTCATGGTCATTTGCCAACTCACAATGTGCAATTTATCCCATGTACATTCTAGAGACCAAGGTTGAATACATTATCTAAGAGACCAGACACAATGTTTTAGATTTTTCCTCGCCACATATGTGAAATTTGTCATAAAAGACCAATAATCGAGTCTCACCAACGACAATGTGGTAGTAACTTTTTAAAATGATGGGGACTTCTTGTGCGTAGTGCGCAAAAATCTAATCTATATTATTCAGTTGAGTCACCATAATTTACTCTTCCACAATTTGATCGGGATATTAGGCGCCTAGGGTGGACTATTATACTCTTTTTTTTTTTTTTTTTTTGGTCACAATATTTTCCTTGTCACTAAAAAAAATTCATAATTTGCTTCATTAATCATCATTATGTGCTGATTTGAATTGTGGTTGAAATTTATTCCATTGTGGACAACAATATCATATTATAGTTGAGTAATTCTACCTCCCATTTTTTTTTTTTTTTACTTCTTATGATGTGGCATGCATTGATTGCTTAATATAAGAGCATTCATAATAGTCTAGGTTATTTTGTTTTTTGTTTTTTGTTTAATGATTTTTTATGTGCTAAATAAGAGTGGGGAGAGGGAAGGGGAAAGGAAAAAAAGAAAAAAGAAACAAAAAACAGAGAGTTTGACACGACATTTTAAAAAAATTGAGCAGTAACACACCAGCGGGCACGCGCCCGGCTAGGCGTTCTGCGTCTTCACGCGAAGACAGACGACCAACTTTGTTTCCCTTCTCCAAATGTGGACCCCTACAAAAATCTATTACGGAGTAATTCGCAGGAGTTAACTTTCTCCAAAAATCCCACCCCACATCAACAAAATACCATACCTTTTTTTTTTGTATTGTTCCAAAAACCCACCAAATTTCACTGGTGTGGTTGCTATAAGAGGGTCATGATTCTTATCTTTTTTTTTTCTCCAATCAAATTTGAAGACTTAATGACAATAAAAATTGAGAATAAGAGTTTAGAGTCCAAGTAATATTTTTTTTATTTTAATAATTCTAAAAAAAGACTTAAAACATATCTCATGATTTACTTTTCCAATTAAGAATGGTGAAAGCTAGAAGTGCATGTAGTTAGGTTTTAGTTCCACAAACCATTTGTTCATGACTGAACCATCGATTCAAACTTTGTAACATTGTATTTTGCCCTTCCAAGTTAGGAATTGCCGATTTGATCTCATAATTTTAATAACTTGAATTGTCAATAAGATTTAGATTCGTCAATTTTGATCTCATAATTTTAATAACTTGAATTGTCAATACGATTTAGGTTCAAGTTAAACTATAGATTGTTTGGTTAGAATTATTGAATTGAACCAAAAAGGGTACAAACCTAACTTTGTAACTTTGTATTTTGCCCTTCTAAGTTAGAAATTAGCAATTTTAATCTCATAATTTTAATAACTTGAATTGTTAATAATATCTAGTTCAAGTTAACCTATGTAAATGCTTATTGGTCCCAAAAATGTGTGCACCTGTACGGCCACAGGGTGATGTGATGGACCCTTAGGCAGAATCTAATAATAATATTTGTTTTACAGAATCACGTTCCCTGGCTCCCTTCCAAACTTATCTTTGAAATCCTAATAAAATTTTCAAAAAATAAAAATAAGAATTTAGGCTCAAATATTCCATCCGAAAGCATAATCATATATATATATATACTTCAGATTCTCGTACAGTCGGTGCGAATTGTACTATTAGGTATGCATAAATCACTACAGAGTGTTCAGAAATGCACCATTATGTGTGGTGCATTTGTGCATTTCATTCTAGTGCATTTTCAAATACTGTGTGGTGCATTTATGCGTACCTAATGGTGCAAGCCGCACCAACCGCGCAAGAAGCCCTGTCATCATTTGAACTAGTATATATATATATATATATATATATATATATATATATATATATATATATATATATCAAATACGGTACTGTAAAAGTTTAGAACTTAATTAGAATGACCACTCCAATGGAATAGGAACACTAGTTAAATTCTTCTTCTGGGAACAGTAAAAGAACCCACACAGCTTTTTAAGTTGGAAACACAAATGATAGCAAAGCTTATACTTTATTGAATACTTCCTGAATCAAGACAGCAAGTTGTTACAGTCAATGAGCAGGAAGAACAATAAATGAGAACATGGCTGCAGTTAATTCAACAATTGCAGCATTTATGAGACCAGGAAAGGTCACAAAGATTCAAATGCAAGAACCCATTATACTTGAGTGGGATGATGTTTAGGGTGCAATTCAATAATATCATGGGGTGGGGGCGTTTAGGAAGAGCTCTGCAGCCGAGTCTTGATCCAGGATTCCAAGTGGCGCAACTCTTCCTGGGTTATTGAATGGCCGAGGGCCGGGTAAGCCTGAAAGGTTTGTCGAGAAGATTGTATAAGTACTCACATAGAAGTATATCATACCTGGTCATATTTGGGATTCTGATTCTCCTATTTGTATTCGACACCTTATTCATTAATATATGTTTGCTTTGTTGGCTTTCCAAAAAAAAAAAAAGTATATCATACGTGATACGACTAGTGGAAGGGTTAGGGAAGGTACCTTGAAGTCACAATACATGCCCGCTTGTTCAAGGAAAGCTGGCCCGGCTTGTCCAGCTTCAAACAGTACTGTACTGTCTGCCATACCGTGAGACCACAAAATAGGTGTCTGCAGAACAATTTGAATACAAAGTAAGCAACTTTGATATAACTTTAACTGATTCTTGGACACGATAAATATATACATGTAATTGGTAGATAGTGTTTATAGAATTATAGGACGAGGATGTATTGGAGGGCTCTGATTAAATGTTTTTGATGATGTATATCCTGAGTTGGAAAAGCACACAGCATCTCCACACGTTGTTTTTTTATTGAAAAGCAAGTTTCTTTCAATGTTTGATAAGAGAACAGGTGCTATTGAGACATTCCATTTGAGGGCAGACATGTCAAAAATAAAATTATAGTGCAGGATTGAGGAATATAAAATATAAAGTCGGTACTAGTATATAAAAATAATTACCATTTTTGACTCAGGTGTTATCTGTTCAAGAATAGAATAATTGAAAGGAACCCATCCACTAAACACCGCACCTCCTCCAAGAGTTCTTGGGTATAGCAGAACACTTGCTAAGGTCAATGCACCTGCAAAATTGAGTCGAGCAAGCTGAGAAATTGAGTAGTAATGACACCGCAAACTTAAGTAATCAAACAAATTCAGTGGAGAATGTGTCATCTAAAGTTCTTTAATCTTTCTTATATTTAAGGGGTGAAAAGAGGAGGGCAGATTCCAGGAAAGGTGGGGGGGGGGGGGGGGGGGGGGTGGCGGCGGCCATGTCAGAAAGATAGAGAGAGAGAGATACCCCCTTGGCTAAATCCACAAATAAAGATGTCCTTAGGATTTGTGCCAGCAGTGACCACTTTATCTATCATTATATGAACGTTCTGAACTGCTTTGATCACACCAGATTCATCTTTTGGGGAACTCTGATGCATGATTAATAAAACAAATGCATATCAACATCAAGTGAATCAGCTAAAGATTCTCCAACAGAGACCTACCACTTGGCTGCAATAAAAGAAACCTTACAAGAGAACAATTGGTAGTCAATTTAGGGTGATAACGAAGACAAACATACTAGTGATCATCCAGTAGTGTAAAGCACTAAAGCCTGTCAATCATTTAGGTATTTGCATATTTCATATGTTCTGGTTTGACAATTTCATGAAATAGGACAGAGACACGAATATCAAACACAAAATATTTACCAACTTATTTATAGCATTTTAAATGATTCTAGTGTTGTTTCATATATTGAAATGCAGAAAAATCTCATCACACGAAGAAAGACATATCTCAAGTTAAATATATAGATGGAGTTACAAAGAGATTCTAAGAAGTATAGGCACGAGATAGAAACTTACAGCTGACACTGGTATTTCATGTATGTCAAACCATGACGGCATCACAGCACCCTCTAAACAAAAGAATGAGACATGAGATGCATAACATATCCACCAAAAACTTGCCAGTAATTAAATTTGTTTTCCAAAAGCAAATGAGGAATTGTTCTATAACACATTAACGGTGCAAGAGTCAGCTCACTAACTAACCACGACATCAATAACAATTAAGTTGTGTTATCAATGGGAGGATAAAATATCACTTAATTAGTCCAACGTTCAGTTCTCTCATTTGTATAACAAAGCATTACTTACTGCAAACACACAGTTATCTTAGTAGCAATTCTAGCTCCTAAACCCTAAAAACTTGTATCTGCATCACATTTCTACATACCATTATTACTGAATTTTTGTGCTCTTAGCAAAATTTTTATTCTAACATATGAGTTGCAGTTTTGAAAAGCCATTTCACATGATACCCTTTCTATTTCTAAGAAGACAGGACCATGATATAAGAACTCCAAGATGTGATGCATGTTGATCCACTACAGTGATGTTGTAAAACGTGTTCTAGAAAGTATTGTCCACGTTAATAATTTAGCCATCAATTTTTGCATAACTACTATAATTCAGGGCTAAAGTAGATCCTGATTCTTAAATCATTCATCAATAAATGTTTGCTCCTTGACTCACTGTTGCCACTAAAGGTGTTTATCAGATGCTAAAGAATAGAATCAAAATGCTGAAAGAGATGGATCACAGAACCTAATCATATCCTCTCCACTCATCCCAATTCTCACCATTTAATAGAGAAAATAGAGAAGAAAATTTGGGAACCAAGGAATTATGTTGGTGTTTCATTAGTAACACAGTTAAATAGCAAACTTCCCAAACTAGTACTTTGACTTAGCTACACCATTCCATTAAACAGTAAAATGAAATTCCTATATGTATGCCATGTGGAATCTTTCATTTCAAATACTCTATAATAGAGTTCTCAGTGATGCCAGCAATCAATATTCAGAACACTTTCCCAAGCTTGATTTCCACCCCCTTGTTTCAGCCATTTTTTTCATATTTCATACTGATTCTTGTGTTAGTTCTGTTATCTTAGGCCAGCATTTACAAAGCACAGTGCAGTGAGCTTTATCCCACAAAGAATAAGAATCACAAATCTAGTCAAACAGAGCCCACAACATACCCAGGGGGCCGGGAACACAAACCACTTTATTCTATTCAATCTTATCACAGTCAATTCAATAACAGGGTGCTTTACTGAATCCACTTCTTTTCCTTGACCCAAGATGGCAAGATGCGAACTTTCTCCATCAATCACCAAATATCTCCCTCACCTCCCGCAAACAACCCATTCTACCAATCTACCATGATCACGAGAAAACAAACTTGAAGTATGAAATGGTTAAGACAATATGCACATACACATAATTCCTATCACAGTCAATTCAATAACAGAATTCTTACTCAATCAACTTCATTTTCCTTAACCCAACATGGCAAGATGCAAACTTTCTCCGTCAATTACCAAAAATCTCCCTCACCTCCCGCAAACCAACCCATTCTACGAAGATCCGTACAAAACAAACTTGAACAGGAAATGCAAATGGTTGTGACATATACACAAACACAGCATATACACGATGATAGGGGGACTTACGGTTACAGGTGACTGGGCTGTCGGGCGCAGAAGGGAAAGACCACTTGGTTGTCTTGAACTCGGAAGCAGTGAAGATATTCTTAATGTGTTCATTGGCGGGACCCGAATCGCCCAACCCGTGGAGCCACATGATAAAGCTTCGGGCCATCGGATCGGGTCTGCCGTAAACCGGGGTCCGCGGACGAGGGAGTACGACAAAGAAACCGGTGACGGCGACGGTGATCGTGAATACAATTGCTGGCTTTAGTAAGAGAATGAATTTAGAATTCATTTTTGCATTTTCATGGTGATGCCCTACTGTACTCTCCTTCCTCGTACACTATTTTTTTCCCCATAATTTAGCTACCTATCACCATCATTTTGTGTGAGGAAATAAATAAATAGATTAGCAAATCCTTTCTTATATTTTTAATAATTAAACTACAAATACTTGTTTCAAAAAAAAATACAAATATACTTATTTAATAAAGACTAACTTACCAAGACTATGTGGTCTAATGGTACCCGGATTAGACTTCCATTTGGAAGGTTACGAGTTCGAATCTCAGTGGAGGCGTTATTGGTTCTTTGCCACTACAATGTAATAGGGCCAAGGACTAACTTAATTCTATTTTCATAAATTTTTAATGTATTTAAAAAAATTAAAGATAAAAACAGTTTTATTATCTGAACATCTTAAGACATCAAAAATTCCCATAAATAAATAAATAATTGACTAGTAAATTACTCAAACAATCAGGCATAAAAATGACTTTCTTGACTAACAAGTAGATAGCGTGATTAGCTAATTGTTCAAATGAGATATACACTTAGTAATATGATATGAATTTAGTAACATATTTGACGAAAGTTAATTTTGAAATATTAAAATAAGAACGTAAAAATAATATTACTGAAATGAGTCAAATAATATGTAACATTAACAAGACTAGTAATTGCTTATGTATTGTGTGTATTTGTATATCTCAATTCACTAATTCCAATTGCACTACAACTCGGAGAAAATTTATACGGTAACATAGAAAAATTTATGTTTTTTACCTTTCTATCAAAGTATCAAATGCTAATTACAATTTCCTAAATATGAAAAGAAAGAAAAAGAAACATATTGTGGCCAAGGCAGGTACTGAGTGTTCACTGTTGCAGGGCTAAAGCAGGCTGCAATATAGTACCAGGCCAAAGAGAGGAGAGTATATTTTTGTGTGCTATTATCTATGGTGCTGCAGAATGGGCATCACAACACAATGCTACTGGAGTTAACTCTGTTCAACTTTCCTTCATTTGTTCTGATTCATCTTTTAGTAACTCATTTTCTCCATCACCAGCCAAACCCAAACTCAGATCCAATGTGCTTTCATTTGTGTTGTGTCCATGTGGATTGCTACCCTCTGGAGCCTGACACAAGAGTGCAATTCAAAAATTTGTAAACAAGGGGGCATGACAAATGACTGCTGTCTCATTATGGCATCTCCAATGTGAGAGAAAAGTAGAAAACTCCTCCACGTGAGCAGAAAAAATAGCGTGGAATGGGGAGAGGCAAGGTGGAGAATGTATAGATGCTTTACACCTTGTCCTAAACAAAAGAAAAATAGAGAAAAGTGTGGCATGGGTACTAGCGGGATGAGAAAGTAGCGAACAACTGTCTGTCACTTTTCTGACTCTTTTGTTAATAATGTGGAAGAAGAAAATTGTTCATGCATTGGGAATGCCCTTAGGTTTAGAAAATCCTAATTAGGTCACAACCTAAAGAAAACAGTCACAAGTAACCTGAGCAATTTATAGGTAAGAAAAGGAACACTAAATAAACAGTGTCAACACGTTTCCTTGTAAGTTGTAACTTAAACAAGTTGAGAGCCTAAAAAAGAGGGAAATGCCAAAAATAGTTAGCAAGAACACAAGAAATTAGCTGCATGGTGTCCGGAAGTTGATCATATAAATCACATAAGCTCCTCTAAACCACATCTAGAAATATTCCTGCTACCATAGAAATCAAAGGCAAAGAGCTCACACAATTGAAATATGCAAGAAACACTACTTACTTAATTTCCCTCGCTGACCTAGTTATGTTTTTAGTATTTGAAGAGAGGAAGTCTCTGATGTACCTGATTTTCCGTTGTGGCATCATTGATGTTTGGTTTTTCATCTGAGCCATCAGCCTTAGAAGTCGGCTGGTCTACATCCGTTTCAGTTTCTATTGGTTTGGCTTCACATTCAGCATCTTCTATGGACTCATTTTGTTGTTCTTCAAGCACAGCAATCTATTGCAGCCATTCAGAAGAAATAAAGGGCAAAAGGAAAAACATTACACCTAAGCAGAATCAAATATGCAATAACTTTCGGTAAATTCAACAGACTGGTAATAACACTGCTACAGTAGTTTTAACAGATATTGCTGTTCACTCATGCAAGCAAGAGAACACAAAGCAAGTATGCAGATTGCAGAATGTCAGTGTGTTTTACAGCAAGTAATAGAATGCTCAAGATTCAATAAGAAGAACTGGAAGGTATATGTCCATTGCCTCTCCTATTACTACAACTCAAATAGTCAATTGGGACCATGAAAGAAAAGTAGTGATTCACAATCTGGCATGTATATATCCATCATAACTAGAGTGGAGAACTAGCATTTTAAAGAAGGCAATAACTTCATTGATCGAGTCAGTAACATGGTAGTCATAATAGACTAACCAATTCTAACACAAATTTTCAATCATATACACTGGGCTGAAACATTGCAGTGGCAATAACTTCATAACTCCACCAATCAAAAGTTTTTGTATGAAACAACAATATCAATGACTTATTTAAGAGAATATAACAATCAACCAGACCATCGTGTTAACTTTCTTTGAGTTCAAAACTCTAGTGCATATAAACAGATCAAAATCTTCCAACCAAAGAAGTTCAATTCTTAGGTTCCAAGTTTAAACCCTCAAAATATTGCATGTTTTTACAGCATCACTGTACAGTGATCGACATTTTAGGCTTTTAGCTAAACATCTATTTACTTGATAGCACTTGAACGATTAAATTGAAACCATAATAGTGCACACAATTCCTTCTCAATACCTCAATTTGATTTACTACAAACCAAAATACCAAACTTGCAACCGATTTAGAATGCAATTAGCTAAATGAATTGACAGAAAATACCGGTATATACTTAAATTTCCGCTTCCGCGGCTCCTCCACAGCAACAGCATCGTCTTTGGCGGAGCTTTTGGAGTCGTCATTCTTATCGACGCCGCCATTGCTGTTATTACTATTGTTATTGTTCTGCCTCGCAGTAATAGGTGTCCACTTGAGAAGCAAGAGATGAGAGCCGTTATTTCCGTTAACTCCGCCGTTCGCCGTGGCCTGCTGATGATTGTGATTGACATTGCCGGAGTTCGGCGGCGTTACGTGGACCCACCTCTTCTTCCATTTCCTGACAGGACCGGTAAAAACGGTGGCAGGTCCGTACCGTGTCGAGGATCGGCCAAGCCTGGCCCCCACTCCCTCCATTTCCGGCAACGCTCCGATCTGTAACCAAATTTTCCGGTTTTATGATCCTCCGTATTAATTTGTATTGGGTGTTGGCGCGTCCACAATTTGTCGTTTTGCAGCATTGGGCCATACGGCCCATTTACTTGTAGCAAAGCCCATATTCTTGTTACATGGCAAATTATTTTGTGGATCCGGGTCCATTTGCAATGTGAACCCGTATTCTAAACATACAATTTACATACTGAATGTTTATGATTTTGTAAAAAGAAAATTGTAAAAATTTAGTAGGTAAATTGAGAACATTAAGTATGTAAATTGTGTGTTTTGGATCTGAGTTTACTTTTTAAGGTGGACCATGGACCATGGTATAATAATTGATTGTTATAGTAGAATCGCTAACCTTATACGCACTATACTTCAACCTAATAAAATTATGAAAGGTAAATTATGATGGTTCAACCACTCAACAAATGTTAGACTTTTGGTCACTGTATATATGGAGCTTCCTCATTTTGATAAATTGATCCACACTATCACTGATGAAACTCGGTCCTTTGTCTCTTATATGTAACCAGTTGAACTACCCATGCGAAAAGTCCATATTCTTTTAACGCAATACGTGGAAAGTTATACATGGACCAAAGCCCACTTAACATTGTGAACTCTAATCCAAAACAATATGTACATAATTTATTAATTGCATGTACATAATATGTTAACAGTATTACATAATATGTTAGTTGTATGTACACAATATGTCAATTACAAATAAGTACATAATTTATTAATAGAAAGTGTATAATATATTAATTGTAAGTATATAATTTAAATATCATTTTAAATCATAATTTACAATATAAGGTAGACCATGATTCATGGTATATCAATTGACAATATGTTGATTAGCTTATTGGGCCGGATCGAATCAAAACTGGGCTTATGATAACAATACCCATTTATCATTTCAGATGAACGGCCGTGATTTTATTTCATTACCCTTGTATTTACACTCCGAGGCGGGTATATATATAACCATATATATTGAGCGTAGCTAGGGTTAAGGAGCGGAGAGCTGCAACAACGAACGTCGAAACAGCAATCGTAGCTTAATCTTCAATGGCGGCGAAGAAGTCTCCCCGGAATCCTGAGCTAATCAGGGGCGTCGGCAAGTTCAGCCGGTCGAAGATCTACCACAAGAGGGGACTTTGGGCTATCAAGGCGAAAAACGGCGGAAAATTCCCTCACCACGAGAAGAAGCCAGTCGCGGCGCCGGCGGCTGAGAAGCCACCGAAGTTTTACCCCGCCGACGATGTTAAGAAGCCTCTCGTCAACAAGCATAAGCCCAAGCTGACTAAGCTTAGGTCCAGTATTACTCCCGGGACTGTTCTCATTATCCTTGCCGGTCGGTTCAAGGGTAAGAGAGTTGTGTTCTTAAAGCAGCTTCCTTCTGGCCTTCTCCTTGTTACTGGGCCTTTTAAGATCAATGGAGTTCCTCTGAGGCGCGTGAACCAGGCTTATGTGATTGCAACTGCCACCAAGGTTGACATTTGCGGTGTCAATGTGGAGAAGATTGACGACAAGTACTTTGGTAAGCAGGCAGAGAAGAAGAAGAAGAAGACCGAAGGAGAGTTCTTTGAGTCCGAAAAAGAGGTTTTGAGCTTTTCCTTTTTTCTTTTCTTTAAAACGACTCTCTGTTTATGTGCTTTACATTTATGATTTTGTTGGAAAATGTAGGAGAAGAATGTGATATCACAAGAGAAGAAGGATGAGCAGAAGGCTGTTGATGCTGTTTTGATTAAAGCCATTGAGTCAGTGCCAGATTTGAAGGCTTATTTGGGTGCAAGATTCTCACTGAAGGCCGGCATGAAACCTCACGAGCTGGTCTTTTAGAGGAAAAGTCTCTTAGAATGTTTAATATTGAAATTGAAACTTGTCTTGTTTATTTCTGTTTTCGGATATTGTTCTATGTGAACTTGTTTTTTGAGGCTTTATTTCACTATTTTATTGGTTATAGACACCTCAAATTAGAAATGCACTATGTGATTTTCTTCCTTGATGTCTATACTGACCTGTTTATCTTGCCAGTACTAGCTTATTTGCTGCCAAGCTTCTGATAGAAAATGCAATTTGAGTGTGACAATGAGCTTCCATTTGATTGTTTCTGCTTGCTTTACCTTGTTGAACCAAAACTTACCAACACAATTGAGTCTTTGAATGTCCTCTGTTACTCTCACAAATCTGTATGCTTGCTTAGAAGTTTGGTTTCCATTAGGCATGTGTGGTTATTGAACACATTGCATCTTGAAAGAAACAATATGGGTATTGTTCCTTGGTGATCTCTATTTGGATGTTTTTGTTTTGTTTTATAGTTGGAAATGTAATGCTAATAGTGATTGCATGTGGAGATTGTGGTGTGGACTATTATAGTGTTTGACTTGTTGCTACATTGTACCAAGATTTGGGTGGATATATGAATGCCCTTCATCTTGACCTGCCAATGTGGCTGTAGCTAAATTCATTCGATTGTGAAGTTAACTGGCCGGTTGTTGTTCTCTCCTGTCGACAAATCTGCTTACCGAACTTCACACATTTGAAAATATCTGATTATATTAGGAGAATGTGTGGACTACTGTAGTGTTCAACTTGTTGCTACATTGTACCAAGATGTGGGTAGATATATTAATGCCCTTCATCTTGACTGCCAATGTGGCTGTAGCTAAATTCATTTGATTGGGAAGTTTACTGGCTGGTTGTTATCTCCTGTTGACAAATCTGCTTACCGAACTTCACACACTTGAAAATATCTGATTATATTAGGAGATTGTGTGGACTACTGTAGTATTCAACTTGTTGCTACATTGTACCAAGATGTGGGTAGATATATGAATGCTCTTCATCTTGACTGCCAATGTGGCTGTAGCTACACAAATTCATTTGATTGGGAAGTTTACTGGCCGGTTGTTCTCTCCTGTTGACAAATCTGCTTACCGAACTTCACACACTTCAAATATCTGATTATATGACTTGAACTTGTTGCTGTATTGTACCAGGATTTGGGTAGATTTATGAATGCCCTTCATCTTGACTGCCATTGTGGCTGTAGCTACATGAATGCATTTGATTGAGAAGTTAACTGGCCGGTTTTTGTTCTCTCCTGTCAACAAATCTGCTTACCGAACTTCTCACACTTAAAGTACACATCTTTGATGTAACTTCATTTGGCTTTCCTATACCTCATGGTTCTTTCAGGATAATGTTCCAAATCTGCAGTTGTATTTGGTAGGTCATGAGCCTGAAAAAACTGTTCAACCAATTTCTTGAAGTGTAAAGTTGTGTTGGGTGGTGTAATATGGCTAACCATAACACTGCATTCCAAACTACTTCATTTTGTAGTTAACACTTTGTTGTAAATTTGTTGTTTAATGTAATGTGATGATTATATATTTTGTTTGACCAAACCCTAACAACCCCTCAAAACTTCAAAAGTCTCCTTATACTACAACTTTAAATACTCTTTTGATTTTGGCCCTGTTTGATAGAGCCGTTAGAGCATCCACATCAGTGGATATTATGGAGATAATGTCAGATGAATTATCTCGGGTGGGGATAATAACAAGTGTGGGGTGGGGTTATTGGTGGAGATATTCTTCCTGCAAATTCAAGGAGAATGCAGAAAAAGAAGAAAAAGAAAGAGAAGAAAAAGGAAGCTGTTGTGCGCGTGCAAGGCACGCGCCCGTGGGCGCGTCAGGCGCGCCGTTCGGCGCGCCTGACTCTTTTTTTTTTTTTTTTTTAATTTTTTTTTGTTTTTTTAATTTTTGATTTTGATTTTTTTGTTTTTTTGTTCCTCCCCTTCTCACATTCTCTCTCCTAATCACTCTTACATTATCTCACAATTCTCCCCAACCATTGTGGATGCTCTTAGAATAGAGAGAAACTCCCAGTAATTATTTGTATGTTCTCTTTCTTGTCAGACTTTTTTAAGTCTAGCAAATATCCTTACCACTTGTTATTACCACTTTTTAGTGCAATCCTTTTTCGGGCTAGCAAATGTCATTTGAGAAAGAAAATTGAGGATGGTGAAAATGGTTTCTATTTCTTCAACGTTTTTCATTGAACTAACCCAATTTGGAAACGAAAATATGGATCCAGTAGAACCTTGGGTGGAAGTTTGACAATTAACTAGAAATAGAAGAGTAAGAGCAGGAAGAAAGTGAAAAGTTGCGGCAGAAGAACTGTTAATTAGTTATGAATTAGCATTAAATGCACTACAACAAACGCCACAGAAAACAAAAACCCAGAAGGGGGAAACAGTATAATAAACTGCAATGATGAACTCTGAATGGAGAGAGAGGAAGAAGCTGTACACGATCCTTGGCATCTTCACTCTGATCTCAATTCTCTATCTCAACTTCAGCGATTCTCTCTTCAGCTTTTCCTCCTTCCCGTATCTATGGCAGCCCAAGATGGACTTCGCGGGGGTCAACCGCACCAGATTCGTTATTCTCAAGGACGAAGGAGGAGGAGTAGAAGAGTTTTATATCAATGGGTGGAATTCTTATTGGTTGATGGCGGAGAGCGTGTGGGGTGAATCCAGACAAAGGGTCTCTGAGATCCTGGAGAGAGGAGCTGCCATGGGGTTGAGCGTTTGCCGGACCTGGGCTTTCAGTGATGGTCCCGCCGCTGGACCCAATGCCCTTCAGCTCCATCCTGGCGTCTTCAATGAAAGGGCCTTTCAGGTTCCTTACAACCCTATCATCATTCTTCTTCTTCTTCATCACATTCAATTTAATCTGATCCAGTACAATTCATATATTGTAACCATAAAAAGTTGAGGATTAAAATGGCTAATAAGGAACAATTGACGGACTAAAAATGTATTTTTCCCTTATTTTTGTTTCTTGATATTCAATTTAACTTGCTGAAGGATTGTGTTTCTGTCTTGCATTCTTTATCTTTGTGTTTGATTTGTTGCCATGGGTCTTGAATTTGGTTGTGTTTGGAGGATAATGAGCTTAAATCCAAGCTTAAAAGTGATAACATAGGAAATTAGTGATCATCTTCTTGTATAGTTGTATGGATGATTGGTGCAATGGTTTAAAATTCATTAAGGTTTAGACACGTTCAGTTAATCCATAAGATCCTTGGAAGCTTTGGAGCGAAATTTATCATTTCCTCTAACATTCCTTTTGTATTTTGATGATATTCAATGGATCCCAGGGATTAGATTATGTAGTAGCTGAGGCAAGGAGGCACCGGATAAGATTAATCCTCAGCCTCGTCAATAATTTGGAAGCGTATGGTGGAACTACTCAATATGTGAGGTGGGCACAAGAAGCGGGTGTCAATGTCTCTTCTTCCAGTGATTTTTTCTTCACCAACCCAACTATAAAAGACTATTACAAATCGTACGTTAAGGTATACTATATCATAGGTTGTTGGTTTTCTTTAAAGTTCGATAGAAATAACAGCAAAGGTAATAATTTGCTTTCTCTTTCTTGTTTATAATGGAATCTTTTTAGGATTGCATCGAAAAGTTTTTCAAGTTTCATATTGATGGATATGTAGAGTACATGTATGTGTTTATACAACGGGTTCTTTTGGCATCTCAGGCTGTTGTGACTAGAAAGAATTCCTTAAGCAGAATTAGATATTCAGACGAACCTGCCATATTTGCCTGGGAACTCATAAATGAGCCTCGATGCACATCCAGTTCATGTGCTTCCGATCTTCAGGTGAGTATAAGCTTGTCAAATTCAATTTATTACCGAGTTTTAGGTAGTTTTTTGGCAGGAGGAGAATAAAATTGTTTCCAAAAACTAGTCAGCTAAGATAACCCCCGATGTTCCATTCTTCTCATAAAATGATTCTCTCTGCATTTCAATGATCTACTGTTTGAGAGGCATTTATTACACCTTTGAGTTTCTTGAATATTCTCCTACTGTATCAATATCATGCTAACCATATTTAATAATGCCTCGAATTCTATTATTTTCCGAGCTTTTAAGACTTGAGTAACTGGTGAACAGGCATGGATTACTGAGATGGCTGCATTCATTAAGAGTTTGGATCATAAACATCTTGTGACTATCGGGCTCGAGGGGTTCTATGGTCAGAAGACGAGAAAAAATCTTGGCGTGAATCCTGGAGAATGGACAACCTCCCTCGGTTTGGACTTCATACAGAACTCAGCAACTAAAAACATAGACTTTGCTTCTGTTCATGCTTATCCTCACAGCTGGTTAGTGAAGTTATACTACAATTGCTTAAGTGCAAGTAATCAAGAATGTCTTTAACTTTAGCCTTTATCCATAAACTCGTTAGTCATTGCTCATACATAGTTTTCTTCTGATCATAGGATCCCGGGTGCAAATTTAACCAGAAGAATAAATTTTCTCTCGCGCTGGGTGGATTCTCACATAAACGACGGGGAAAATGTCCTGAAGAAACCCGTCCTGTTCACAGAAGTCGGATTTCCTTTGGGTTTGCAGCAAGGAGGGTCTTCTGAAAGAGACACTCTCCTGAGAATTGTTTATGACAGGATTTATGAATCAGCCAAGAAGAGAAGAGCTGGAGCTGGAGCCTTGTATTGGCAGCTATTAGTGGAGGGAATGGGGAAACAATACGGGGATCGATTCTCGCTAGTTGCGTGGCAGCACCCTTCAACTCTCAAGCTGATTACAGAACAATCTTTCAGGCTGCAGAATGCATCTTACCAGAGCCAAACAAACACAAACCTCAGCCATGTTTCAGCCAAAACACCATAGGAGATTAGCCAGAGGTTCAATGCAAAGTTTGAGAGTGGGAATGTTTTGACAGTTACAATGTCGGTTTGATACGATCTCACATTAACTCGGCTCCTTCAGGAATGGAGGAGTAATACATAAGTTGGGACCAAACCCCCACGGTTCAACAACAACGGCAGCAACGTTAGGTATTCGTCAAATCCCAACTCCACCACGAAAGTGAGCCTGAGAAAAGAGGTTTGACTCATACAACCCGCCATTCTTTGAAGGAGCTGATGTGGGGTTATCTTTTTTTTTTTTTTTTTTGGTGTAAATCATGAGGCGGTCCTGGTCTTTTTCTGTCCGTTTAACGGGTCAGGTCCAGCCAACTAATCCCTGTTCGCTCCCGGAGGCCATGGGAGTTGAGTTTGTAAGTTATAGCGTCTTGTTAGATAAATGATACAAGAACAACATTCATCAAAATTGTGAACCTTCCATAATCAAGATTATAGAGAGATTTAAGTCTGGTATAACTGTATGAGAACATAGAAAAGTATTACATTTTAACTAAAAAGTATAACATATCTCACGTAATACAGTCTCACACGAGATGAGGCTTACTCTATAGATATGGACAAGTAATATTGCTTGGACTAACTAATTTTTTATGCTTAACAAACTCAATAAAGGCAAGAACCTCTGTGCATGCTTTGACATCTGGTTTGTTCCTCAAAAATGGAGGAAAGAAAAGCCAAAAACTGGTGAGAATGACAAAGGAGAGTGACAGTGGACCTGAAACGATTCCCGGCAGCCTAAACCTTCCATTAATGGCTTTCTTGGCGCCAATCTCCATAGCCAAACAAACTCCATGGATGAGGAAGAAGCACATGACTTCTCCGGTGGGCTTCACCCTCCCAATATTGTAGAACACGAGCTCGTGCATGATCCCGGAGACCAAGAACGTCGCCACCACCGCCGGGAGCGCCGCCCACTTCCGCGGCAGGAGCCGGGCGGCGGCCGCCCGGATTGGGTCGTACACGGCGGGGCGGAGGATGTTGGTCACCATGAGATTCCACCTCCGGCCCCAGAAATCCTGCAGCGAGGTGGCCAAATGCGGGTCGTCGAACGGCGGCTCCAGCTCCACTCCGGCCACCGCCCGGACCGCCGCGCTCACCGCCGTCAACCAGAGGTCCAAGACGAAGTAGATATGGCAGCAGTAGAACAGCATCAACAGCTTGGGAGGAACACCCTCGTAAGTGTACACACGAAACAACGTTCCCAGCAAAACCAACTTCGTCAGATAATTCACCGGCGACTTGCCGCCGCTCTTCTTCTCCGGCGATCTCTCACTACATTCTTGAAACTTGATCGGCAAGCAAGCTAATGCCACGAATCTGGACAGCGGCAGCGGCGGGGAAGAACACAAAGGCCCACTCCCAAACGCAAAAAGAAGAAGCTTGAAGCTCCCCAGCCACCCAATCAAGAAAGCGGTGCCGCCGCCCAGATTTGAAGAGGTGAGATTGAGAGGAAGAAGAAAGAAGACACCGGCCACCGGAAGAACGCCGGAAAGTCTCCCAAAATTGGGTTTTGGGAAGAGATTACCAATAAAATGGCAGTAACACAAACAGGCCAAGACAGTACTCCATACCACAATGAAATTGTTGATTTCTCCTTCCATTGTGATCTGATCTTGGGTCAACAATGGCGATGGTTTCACCTTATTATTATGTGCTAAAAGGTCGACCAACAATCTCTTTCTTAGGAGGGAAAATTGACTGAAATGGAAAAAACTAATATAATATAGATAATTTTTTAATCTTTGACGTACTGGTTAATATGTTATCGTAAAACGAATTCTAAATGTAGTTGACAAAATAATTTGCTTATTTCTGTCCAAGTTTTAATTTTTGCTTATTCTTTTGATCCTTTCCATTTCCGCTTATTTTTAGTCGATTACGCCGTTGGAAGTAGGGCAAAACTTTAGATTCTTAATTGAATAATGCGGAGGGCAAATTATTATATGGAGCATATTCACATAGTGAACCATAACAAAAAGTATATGTTTAATATATTAAATGTACATTATTTTTGTATTGAATGTACATTATATAATATAATGTATACTCAATATAAAAATAATATACATTCCCTTAATAGAATGTACATTATTTTTGTATTGAATGTATATTATTTTTCTACTGAATGTACATTATTTTACATTATACAAAATATAGTCTACACAACTTGTGTGAACTATGGTCCACACAATAATGATTGTAATATGGAATACTAATTTTGCCTTTTGACTTTACCTCGTAAATTGTCAAATTCTTCTATAAGACCGTTTCATGGATCAGATCTTCATCTGATCCATGAGGCGGGTCTGATTTTTTTTTTTTTTTTTTTGTAAATATTAATTACATTTTTTTACATTAATATTATAATTTTTATCATAAGTAAGTTTTAATATTATATTTTGATTTAAAAATTTTAATAAGTATTAGACTTTCTCTCATAAGTAACACTTAAGCAATGATTAGTAATTTAGTATTACATTTTATCTCACAACAACTAACTATTTAATCTTATATGTTACATTTTTTAAAACAAATACTATAAATTTTCTTATAAGTAACAAATAATTTATTCATGATAAGTAATATATATTTTCAAGTATAAAGTATTACATTTATATCATCACTCAACTCGTCTCACATGAAGTTCACTCATATGGTTTGTGAGCTATTACACATAAATGAAGTTTATTTACTATGTATCTTTGAATAGTAATTGTGGACTTTTTCGTGATCTAAGAGAGAGAAAAAAAAAAAGAGAAATTTATTGTTGCGTGTGGAAATGAATGTAACGGAGTGAAATCAAAAAATAAAAGAAAATGAGTTAATACCCAAAATCGTCATCGACTAGGGTGGTTTTTCTCAATTTCGTCCTAAACGACTTTGGTGACCTAATATCGTCCCAGACTTTTGTGTTTCGCTCAATTTAGTCCTCCATTTTTTATTCCGTCAAATTGGTGTTAAATAAAGGGACAATTCAATAATGTCAATATTGATCTCTCTTTACTTTCAACTTGTGAAGTGCGAAATTCCTCTTTCTTGTACGAATTACACCCAGAATTATTCCCGGACCTGCAAATCAAATTTTATATTCGCAGTTTTGGGAGTTATTCGTAAAAAAAAAAAGGGATTTCGCAGTTTACATGTTTATGAGTAAGAGATGCCAATATTAAAATTACTGAATTCTCTATTTATTTAACACCAAATGGACAGAATAACAAATGAGGGACTAAATTGAGCAAAAACACAAAAGTCTGGGACTAAATTGAGCGAAACACAAAAGTCTGGGACGATATTAGGTCACCAAAGTCGTTCAGGACGAAATTGAGTAAAATCACTATAGTCGAGGACGATTTTGGGTATTAACTCAAAAGAAAATATAGCATCCCAAACGATTTTTTGTTTCCGGAAAGAGGGTTGTAAATTAGGTATGAGATTAATGATAATTTAATGTGAAATATAATTAGTGGATTGTAACGTGCAAAAAACAATTTCAATTTGTGAGACACATGGCAGACATGATAGTACACATTTTTAATATAAGATCAAGTTGCGTGGTCCTCATGTGCTCACATGTTACTTTCTTCTTAAATTTCTCTAAGACGTTGTTTAAGGAAACCCCAAAGAACCTCATCCCATCGGTTAACTTAATGGTTAATACCAGCTGTGATCCTTCGAGTATAGTGACACCGCCATGTTTAGTTCTAAACTTTCAATTTAACCACCCATGGTCCTTCAACTTTCAAATGTAACTAGCCGTGGTCCTTCCATTAGTTTAATTAAGGGCAAAGTTAAGACCAAAGCTGGTTAAAAATTTGAAAGTTGAAGGATCATTAGTGGTTAACTTGAGAGTTGAAGAACCAAGGATGGTTAAATTTGAAAGTTGAAAGACCACGGGTGGTTAAAATGAAAGTTTAGGACTAAACATGACGGTGTCACTATACTTAGAGGACCCCAGCTGATAGTATCTGTCTATACTTTCTCAATCTGTTGCAGCTCAATGAGTCAAAACTCCCCACTATCGAGGGTTCGATTCTATGACCTTTCCAGGAAAACCATAAATGTAACATCTGAACACAAGGTACTATAGGACCTAATGTGATAAATGAAACTTACAATTCATTCACCAATTGAGTAACGAAACATGCCACCACAACCCACCTCATCCACATCCACTTCATAGCAGTCATCCGCACAAATACATTAGAGTAACCTTAATAGGAGTTTCTTTTTATTTTTTGTTTTTTGTTTTTTAATTTTTGAGATGTCAACTAAGAGAGAAGAAGAAAAAAGAAAAAAAAAACAACAACATAATTAATGCGCCATCCAGCGCGTGCACTGCACGCGCCCGATTGGGCGTTGTATGTGCGTGAAACGCGCACAAAGACAGTAGCCTTATGCCTTCTCTCTATTGTGGGACTCACAAAAAACTTGGATCTTGCAAGAGGAACTCACCATTCTCTCTTTTTCACATGAACTTAAAAATTGTAAAACCTTCCAAAAAACTATTGATATTGCAAATATCTTGTGAGATGACATATTTTACTTTTAACTCTCTAATATGATAATTAATCATTTATTTGTAAAATAAGTCACTTTATTTCTTCTTCTTTTTATTTTTCCTTTTTACTTAATGTATACAATCTGCATAACGAGAATAAATATTCACGAAAATATAATTCTCATTTTCTCAAAAATCAATGGTATATACTCCTATGCTAAAGCACTTTTCTCCTCCCCCCTATACTAAAGGCCTAAAGCACTCCTTGCGCCTAGAGTCAAAGCTCTACCAACATCCTTCACAAACGCGCCCAAAGCCGCGTACTCCGCAAACGCCTTAACATCGGCTTCACACCGCAACAGCTGCGGGAAGAACAGCCAAAAGCCGGTGAGCATAACAAATCCAACGGTCAGGATCGTCCCAAGCATTCCCGGCAACCGGCACCTGCCCCTCAGCGCTTTCTTCACTGCGACCTCGACCGCCACGCACGCCCCGTGGAGCAGAAAGAACCACGTGATCTCCCAAGTGGGCCTAGCCCGGCCCAAGTAGAAAAAGATCAGCTCGTGCATTAGGCCCGATACGAAGAACGTGGCCATAACGGCCGGGAACGTGGCCCACTTACGGCCCAAATACTTGGCCGAGACGCCGAGGACGGGATTGTATACGGTGGGGCGCAGGATACGGTTTACCATGAGGTTCCATCGTCTTCCCCAGAAATCCTGTAAAGAAGCGGAGAGATATGGCTCGTTGAACTGCGGCTCCAGCTCTAAGCCGAGAACGGCGCGAGCTAGGGCTGCAACAATGGCGAGAATTATCTCCAGGCAGAGATATATATGCAAACAGTATATAATCAGTATAACTGTAGGGTTTATGCGATCACTATAATCATATATTCTGATGATCAAACCCATCATAACTGCCTTCACCGCATAACTCACACCAGATTTCTGGCGATTCTCCGAGATTTCCACCGACGGTTTCTCGCCGTGATTCAGCAACTCATTAGGTGAGAGCATCAGTGTCTGGTGCTTCTGTATTGTGTCTGTCGGGACTCGATCTTGTGTTTTTACTTTGTGATTCAATAGCTTATTAGGTGAGAGGATTGGTGTCTCGTGCTTCTGAGCTCGATGATCTTGTGTTTTTATCAATAATCTACCATTCAGGAACCAACTGAGCTGTCTGTACTGGTGTGAATCTTGTTGAGCAGAATGAGTGTTGTTTGAAGAATGTTGTGAGTGTTTTTGGTGGATTTTGATGGGGAGGCAGGCGAGTAGGAGGAAACGGGGGAGGGAGAGAGAAGGGAGAGAGAGAGGGCCGGCGGCGCCATGGTTGAAGGCAAGCATGAGGAGCTTGAAGTTGGCGAGCCAGGAGATGAAGAAGGCGGTGGTGCCGCAGAGATGGACGGAGTGGAGGGCGAGAGGGAGGAGGAGAAAGAGAGAGATTACAGGGAGGAAAAGCAGGAGCCTGGGAAGGCCAACGGGAGCCATTTTTGCAGCGAAGAAGCAGTAGGAGAGAGAGAGGTATATGGAGAACCATACCTTGATGAAGACGGCGATCTCTCCTTCCATCCAATGCTTCATCACGCTCTTCATATCTCCTTCCATGGCAGACTATCTGGGAATTTGTGGTGGAACAGACGATATGATGATCCACGGAGAAGAATCCTATCGATCAAAGCCACTTTGTGCTTGCGACCAAAAAACAAAAACCCAATATTCCGCCACAAGACTACAACCATGTGGCAACTCATTATTAAAACAAGGTTGCTGTGCCCAATTCCCTTTGTTTTTCTCATTTTCTGACCCCAAATAGATTCCAACTTGTGTTGGTAGGTGGGAATGAGAGGCCTCCAGTTGTTAATATAAAAAGTGAAATTTCCTTATCACATGATACTATATATAGCCACTGATTCAAGTGTTCATTACGTGAGAGGATATATAAGTTGAAAAAAATAATAAAAATGACTACTATTTTGTAATACAAATAGATGTGAGAGTCACTTTCAATTTGGGTCAGGTCAAAGTGACTATTCAGATTCTTCGTTGAGACGAGGATATTAATATATTGTACACTCAAAATCGAGAATAAATATATGAATACGGAAAGGCTTATAACTAACCTTTGTCCACATTGAAAAATAAAGAGATTTAATTTGCACTACTGTATATATAAGATCCTTTCAAAAAAATGTTAAATTGTATAACATAGAGGTGTTCTCTTGTGAATTTCTCAAAATTATAAATAAATATATTAATATTAATGTTAATCACTACATTTAAATCATTTTATAAGAGCTTTACCTTGGATTATATTCAAATCTTTAAATTACAAATAATGCAATTATAGTTAATTCCATCAGAGGTCATTTGTCTTTGGTGGCAATTTCAAATTTAGTCACAGATTATCATTTTTGCCATTTAACATCCCTAGATTATTATTTTTGGACATTTTTAATCTTTCTCATCACTTTTTCTATTTTTAGTAAGAGCATTTTTTGTCTCTTCAATATTTTTCTATTATTTGTCTGATTTCAACTGGTTTAATTAGTTTATAACTTCAGGTAACTTCTTATTTTTTTTAATTATTTTTTTGAGATAGTAACCTTTGATTTTTAATTAGTAATAATATTTTTCATCCGATTTTTAATAAAGTTCTAAATTAATTAAAGTTGAAACCAGAAAAATATGAAAAGCCAAAAATATTTTTATTAAAAATAAAAAAAATCATGAGAAAGACTAAAAATGTCCAAAAAATAATAGTCTAGAGATGTTAAATGACAAAAATAATAATCTGAGATTAAATTTCGAATTGCCACAAAAACCAAGGACCTTAGTGGAATTAACTCAATGCAATTATAACAAAGTATAAAATGTCAGATAAAGATAATAGACATTTAATTTTAATTAAACAAATATATATAGACTCAATTCATAATATATAGACATTCATGTACAGAGGTAACTCGATTCATAATATAATATTAGGTGATATATTTTCCTAGTCATAATAATATTTTTTGAAAATCCTAGTCAAGCATAATAATATACTTGACTTTATACTTACTTTTTTCTAATGGTGGGTTAGGTTGGTGTCTTCATCAAGGTATGATTTTCTAATTTGACTTATAAGTTATAACCCTTGTTGTAGTGCGGTTGACAATGTTGAATAAATGTGATTTTGTATACATTATATGCTACTTGCATTCTTGTTTAGAATTAATTTCACTTTTGGTCCCACGACTTTTGAGTTCTTATCATTTTTGGTGCACAACTTTGAATTTTTTCAATTTTGGTGCCTAACTTTGTTATTTTTATCAGTTTAGGTCCTTCTAGCCAAATTGACGGTAAAATATTTCCAAATTTTATATTTTAGGGGCAAAATCGTCATCACATGGAAAGATCTTCAATATTTAAACAAAAGAAAAATCATATTAAGAGGAAAAGAAGAGTTTGCCAATGGTCGAAACTATAAATCCCATATATCTGTCTGGTTTCTGCCCATCTTCCCCATTATTCTCATCATCAAACACCTATAGATATGATTTTACGGTGATCTTGTTTAGATATTGAAGATGTTTCCTTGGGATGAAGATTTTACCCCTAACAATATAAAATCCAACAACATTTCACAGTCAATTTGGCTGAAAGGACCAAAATTGATAAAAATAACAAAATTAGGCACCAAAATTAAAAAATTTTAAAGTTGTGCACCAAAAGTGATAGAACATCAAAAGTCGTGGGACCAAAAGTGAAATTAATTCTTCTTGTTTACTATATAATATTGGAATAAAATTATAATTAACTCATTAAATTCAAAAAATTGTAATCAAGTTACTAAATCGTTCAATTAAATCAAAGTGATTTGTGTTTTTCTATTTCTGTTAATGTTCCATTAAAATTTAATTTTTAAAATATATTTTAATAGTTTTAAATAAAAAAATCCAATCCCCTCCCCGCCTTCTTCTCCTGGAGATGAAGGTGGAGAAGGGAGTTGGGTTTTTCCTTTTTTTTTTTTTCAAATATTGAAATTCACTAAAATAAATTTTAAAATTTAATTTTTAATAAGGTAACCGTCACGTCAACAGAAACATGGAAAATATGTCAGTTTCAGTCTAATTATGCACAATTTTGTGTATAGTTTGATAACTTATTAATTCTTATTCTTATAACATATAGAGAAATGAGGTTTTTAAATAATAAAAGTAAAATAAAATATAGAAAAACCAAGCAACCATTGATGAGTTAGTGGTTGTGGTTTTTTTTTTTTTTTTTTTTTTTTTTTTGGTTCTTAAAGAGAATCCATAAGGATTTTACTCACTCCGACCAACCAAGCAATCATGAATCATTAACACTGATATTTCTTGAAATAATTTCCTTGTTAATTTCTATTCACTCTGACCAACCAAACAATCATGAATCATTACAGATCAATATTGATATATTTTGTAAGACATATAGGTTAAAAGATTTTAAGGATTATATGGAGTGAAATAAGAGTATTGTTTATTCTTGGTATCCATATAGTTATAAAAGAATCAAGTCTAGGTTTCTCTGTATAGACATCTTGCTTCATCTACTCATCACGTATTATGAAATAAAATCTTTGTAATTTCACATCACAAGAAGTCGTGGTCCCCATCATGGCAAATGTGGCGGGGATGCCTATTGCCCGACAAAGTAATTGATAGGGAATAGTCATCGGGTATACCCTCCCCTTTCTGCGCTACGTCTCTGCTCGGTATCTGCGATATCCGGTCGGATCAATGAGAAAGACCACTCTCGATCATTACGGACCTCAGGGTCCATTGACCCGACCTAAATAATGATACTGAATAGGGCGAAGTCGGCACTAGTACCTAACCACTCTTCAAATTCTCCCCGACCAGCTTAGGTTGGGAAATGTCCCCCGACTCCTTCTACTTGAGGCCTTTGGGCCATTCCTCTATTTGAACCCGGCGGCCGCAAGGGCGAGGCAGTCAGGAATCTCATAACACGTGGAGGAATCAGCATGGCCCCAACCTGCTTGTGTGCATGAGCGTCACATGTCGCACATAGGGGGACTTTTGGCATGAGCGCCACATGTCACACATGTCAAGAGACCGACATGTGCTCCTTCAGCCTCGTATAAATACCACATTAATTGCTAGGGGGGAGACAGATTAACTTGCTTCTACTCACCTCTAAATAGTTTGGGACCCTCTGACCTTACGTCATATTCCGAGCATAAGCTTTAAACCAACAAACAGACTAGAGAAAGATTCATCTACGGTCCGTATTTACCACATTAGTAACAATCCACCACAAATGTGTGATCATATGCATGGTGATTCTGAATTCCAAGTATTGCATTAAAAACAATTTTTAATTGAATCGTGTTAGAAAATAATATAATTAGCGCTCTCTATGAGTCACTATTTGACGTGTTATTATTGTGTTGAATACGAAGATTCCTTATTAATTTAAGGTAGAATCAACCAATTCACCAGTAATCCATAAAAAATAAATATAGAAAACAAACACCCAAGTAAATACATAAACCAAAGGCATTCCAAAATGTAATGGTCCAAAACTCAACTTTATTGAACAAAACAAAACAAAAAACAAACAAAAACAAACAAAAAATCTAACTTGCTATAAGTTCTACCACTCCTATCAAGTGCAGCAGGAGTTTTCCCCTTTCCTCTCCAGAAAAAAACCAGTGGAAAAGACAAACATAATTAACTAATGATGAACAAAAAGAAACATCCCAGGTAACAATGTTCAAGATTACCCTGTTGCAGGCCATTCTTTCTTGATTTCAAATGTATAGTTGATCTCCAGGTGACACTTATTATCGTCATCAAGGAACTGCAGGTTGAAGACAGAAAACGCGAGAAAGTAAATAAATTTGCTGATTCTGCAGCTAAGCACTGGAAACTGGAAAGGATTTAAAGTGAATTCATAGGAGAAATGTGTATCAGTATGTGGTCTGATGAAGGATATACCTTTGTCTTCGCGGAGTATGATCCTCTAGCAAACATCCCAGAGGGCGTTGTCTCTTCTGGCATTTCATGAGTATAAGGCTCCAGTTGAGGACTAAAGGTCCCAATCATTTCTTTTGATCCATCCACTGAAACAAGTTCAGAAAAGGAACGGTTTAATTGAGAAGTCGAGAGCAGTGTCTAATGTCTTTCTTCAGCTTGAAATGGCAGTATGCATGAACACGAAGAAAGATGGGAGAAAAGCGGGGAGAAGCAGTACCTTTCATGCCAGTTTTCCATACTGTGTTTGTGTATTTCAGACCAGAAACTATGTTATTGCTGACCTGAAATGCAAATTTAAGGCTGTAACGACTCCCTTCTTTCAATATGAACCACGGGCTAGGAGGATTTCCATCCCTCGGGATTGGGAGAACGATATCAGGTCTACCAGGAGATAGCATGGAAAGGCTCAATATCTTCACTTCTGCTTCCAGAGATTCTGCAATTTAACAACACACTTGTTTCAGTTAGACAGACCTCACAAGCCGAGAAACTCAAGTAAGCCTTAATGCTTAGCTATATGGATTTTATCCCTCCATTCAGCTGATCTTATTAGCTAGCTCCTAAACAAGATTAGCATCAATTTGGAGACAGTTGCAAGTTTATCAGAGTTCCAAACATCATTTAATGAAGTTCAGCAACAAGTCTAAGATTTTAGTTTCCCTATTTCACAGAACTTCAAGAAGTTCTATCTTAATATTAGCCAAGAGCTCAGAGATCTGAATTCTACTCATGGTATTTACCCAAACTTCCTGCAACCTATGATGCAAATGAGTAATGGCATATATGACAATGTTGGTTTACATGGGCAAACAAAAGAAAGCAACCTTTGATAATTGTTTGAAAACACAATCTTGAGAAAGCTAAGGAATTAATAGAGATCCAATTCTGTCCATAGCCCCAAAGTTCCATATCAAAGAGTAGAAAATGGGAACCAGCTTGGCGTGAGTGGCCGTGCACTCTCATCCTTAAAAGAGAGGTCGGGAGTTCGAACCCCATCCCGTATGGAAAAACCAATTGGGCCGGCACCGTGTGAACAGAAATTAGTCTGAGTATGGTACAGGCTTAAAGGGGCCTTCTACAGTTAGGGCATGCTCAGGTTGGTAAGAATATTGACTTGGTCAAGATTGGCCTATTGACCTTCCTAGTTTGAGCCGAATAACTATGAGCAACTTAGGACGGGATTTACCCATATACAATTAGGTAGTAACTATGGGTTTTTCTCTGTCACCCGCAAAAAAAAAAAAAAAAAAAGAGAGCAGAAACTGCAACAAAAGGGACAGAAAGTATACCTCCAACAGCATTGATATCCACACTCCCAAGAAGTTGCTCCTTCCACCTTCTCAAGCTCTCATCATCCTTCAAAAAAGAACCAGGAAAGCTCAGGGAAAAGCAGAAAAAACAGAAATGCAATTAACCAAGGCAAAACAACAAACACCTTATCTTTCTCAAACTGTTCTTTGAGAGTAACTTGAGGCCCCAACTGAATCTTATTTGCAGTGTCCTCCTCCTCCTCCTCAGTGGTGCAAAAGGAGCTCTCACTCATCGGCCTCCCTCCACCTCCTTCATTGTCAGTCTCAGCATCTGAATCTGCAACTGCAGTAGCCTCCTTCTTATCCTCCCCTTTCTTCTCATCAAACCCCATGTTTTCTGAAGCCCCCCGGCAGCCAATCACACCCACAGGATAAAAACAAGGCCTCTACTATATATCTGACATGACAAAGCGAACAAAGCTCAAAGCCAAATCAAGAATCACGTAAACACACACAATACAGACAGAGAGAAAGAGAGAGAGTTCCTAAAAAGAATCAAACTTTATTTAAAGGGATGCAGAATTGGGTGACATAAGAGTTGGTTCTTTGGGGAAAATTGTGAAAAAGAATCCAATGGCGAAATACCAAGAAGAGAAATAAGAGAGGAAAAGGGAAAGGGAGAAGGAAGGGGAAGGTTTGGTTGGTTGATTTGTTTGAGAAAGTTGAGGTGCAAAAGAAAATGTCTTGTGGTGATCCGGGGATTGGAATGGAAATTGGAGAGAGAGAAAGATGGCGGTGAGATCGTGAAGATCACTCCCTCACTTCAATCTGGCGTGAATGGCGGAGACGCTGTAATCCATCAACCTGAATGAAGGCGGTCCATGCTCCATTCTTATTATTATTGGCAATAAAAAGTTTATACAACATAATCAATTGTGATATGTTAAAATTCTTTAATCCGGTATGACGGGATATAGGATATTTCAAACGTTATCTCAATAACTGCGTTGAATAAAAGGAATCGACGCCTGTCATGATTTGCAAATTGTTGAATGATCGCCTCATTCCTTCGTTAAGAGCTTGTCACATATGTCACGCGACAACTGAGCAGGGTTAGTATGTGTACTATTATATCCTTTGGTAGGACGGGATATAGGACATTTCAAATGACTTAATAACTCGTTATTTCAATAAGTGGATCTAATAAAAGGAGCTGACTGATGCGACTTGCGAGTTGTTGAACGATCGCCTCACTCCTTCATTAAGAGTTTGTCATGTGGATCACGCGACAACTGAGTAGGGCCAGTACGTGCACTATTACGTCGTCAAGTAGGACGTGGCATAAGACATTTCAAATGACTTAATAACTCGTTATCTTAATAACGGAGTCTAATAAAAAGAATTGACTGATGTAACCTGTAAATTTACGAATTGTTGAACGATCGTTTCACTCCTTTATTAATAGCTTACCATGTGGATCACGCGACAGCTGAGCAAGGCTTAGAGCATCTACATCAGAGGAGAAATGGGGGAGAATTCACTACTTTTGAGGCCAAAATGCTATGGTGGCAGAGAGAGAATCAAGAGAGAGAAGGGGTGGGGAGCATCTGCAAATGTTGGGATATTACTCCCCAAAAAAAAAAAAATTAATGATGGAGGAAAGAGAACCAATAGAGAAATGACATGCTTATTTTTTATATATATATTTTTTATAAAATCAGTTTTGATTTTTTTTTTCCCTCCCCTCCCACATTATTCTCTTTCCTACTCACTCTTACATTCTCCTCTTAATATCTCCAACTGATATGGATGCTCTTAGTGCGTGTACTAACTATTACATCATCTTGTAGTCGGGTGTACTAACTATTACATCATCTTGTAGTCGGGTGCTTAAAGTGCTTTAATTCTTATTTACTTTCTTCTATAATGTTCCTGACCTCGATTGGGATTAGCTATCAAAATAAATAAATAATTTGATTTTTATTCCCACATAATGATAACACACAACTTTTCTGGTGACCGTTAGCTTTGAATTTGGTGCAGCAGAGCTTTACTTACTTTATTGCTTTCAAGTTGGCAACTGTACATATAATACATGACGTCAATGGCCACCATGTGTGTCCTGCTACTCCCTACAATAAATTGACAAAAATGCCCCCCTTCACAGTTTCACATTTGTAGTAATATAAATTTAACACTAAAATTGTTTCAAAATAAAAATAAAAATTTAACACTAAAATTAACGAAGATATAAGAAATGAGACCTTTAGAAGTTTATGTTAGAGAAAATTAAAGAATCGGTAGGTAGAAATTTGATTTATCCATTAAAACATATTTATAATTATTATAAAGTTAATACTTGTGCTCTCTTTAAAAAAAAAAAAAAAAAAAAAAAAAGAGATAATATTGCTTCAAAAAGATGGTTTATAATCGGGTAGGTGGAGGGTGATTCTTGTACTAAAATGTTATGAGTTCGATTTTTATCAATATCATTTCGGTTGAGTCCGTAGTTCATGGTTTGAGTTTACCTACTGTACACACTCACTTACACAATAAAAAAAAAAAAAAAATCGATATGCGCTCCTCGAGCGCCCCAGAGTTTGTGTGTGTGTTTTTTTTAATTGTTTAAAATTTATTTATTTTTTTAAAGACTTGATAATTATAAACTATTTAATATTTTAATAGTTAATACTTAAAAAAATATTGAGTTTTAACAATTTAGAGTTATTTTACTCAAAACGACATCATTTTGAACGAAATAACACATTAAAAAAAAAAAAGAGAGAGAACAATAACTAATCAACTGCAATCTAGACAACCGGTCGGCGCCTAGGGCTTATTTTTACAACACTGTCTATGAGTTTCCCTCGTTATCCAAAAAAAAAAAAAAGAAAAAAAAAAAGATAATATTAATTTTCCTTTTCCTCTTTTCCTGTTATAAAAGGGGAAAACAACTCAAGTATGCTCTATCCATGAATAGTGCAACTATAGGTAGGGGATTATGGGAACTTGAATAGTTAAAAAAAGAAAATTGCAAAGATTAAAAAAAAATCAATAATTTTTAATCATTCTCTACAACATCATACTTAGCCCTCAATTCAAGTTGTAAAAAAAAAAAAAAAAAAAAAAAAAAAAAAAAAAAACACAATATGCTTCAAGCCTTCAACCAAGCATTTTTGCTACATTATCAAAAGACAATTCTAGGCTCTGCAAAAAGAACTAAGATCTGGAAAGGTAAGCAAGCTACAACTTGAATTGCTATGAAATCTGAGAGTCGAACATAGCTTGTGCTTTGAATTTTGCCTTTGCCATTAATCACTGCCCCATTTTCTCAATGCACTCTCTTTAGCAGAAGTATGGGCGGGGGCTTCATATTTAGGAGTAGTATCGAAATTGGCTTGGGGAGTTGGACTTACCTTGTTCATAACCTGAGCTGTTATAAACTTGAGCCCATTCCTTGCTCCTCGCAAAGTGTACAACAATGGATTGAAGATTACAGCGAGCATCACATCACCTTTAGCAACTATCAAGTACTGCAAAATTGAAATGGGAATCGAGGCCTGAGTTACTATAGAAGTAGGGAAGTAGTCATATTAATTGCGGTATAGGAAAAGCTTTTACGGGTCCTCACCATGGCAATAATACCTAAAATTGTCAGGCTTGCTTGTTTTGCTTCTTGCCAGAAATGGTCACCATCACCGGAACCACCAAACCATCTAAACCAACCACCCCCGCCAGAATTGCCACCTCCGCCTGCTTCTTCCCTTCTCTTAATTTCTTTGTCCCATTTCTCAAAATCAGTTTTCTTTCCACCAAGAGCATTTTCCAATGCTTTCCTGGCCTGTTCCTATAAGTACAAAATCCAAGATGTAAATAATCAAAGAATAACAGCAGTGAGGCAGGCCGCAGAAGTAAAAGTACAGCCATAATTCAGGCATTAAAAGCTCCATTCAGTATAACGCGGCATCTAAATCTTCATAAAGCCAACTTGTCAAGCTTTTAACATTACAAAAGAAGATTGCTTGAATTTTCTTTGTGGCATATATGGAAACAATTTCCAATATACTTCCATCAGTCTTTTTGTTTCAACCAAGGAATTACTGTTTGAAATATGAATATCTATCTCATCAATAGTCAGACCATCCATGCTTCTAAGCACGGAAGAGTTATGTTAATTTCACAAGTTTTCCTGACTAAGTGTTACTTTGAAAGGGCAGCTTGACGGGTGATGGGCAAGTACATCCCAAGCTCATTGTTGGATTATTTCATTAATAACTTGAACTTAGCAATTTGGTTATTGGATTTGATCGTGCAATAACGTGATCTCCCCATTCAAGTCTGTAGGAGGAAAGGACAACTATGTAAGAGAAACATAGGCAAGCTGAACAATGACAGTAATTCCGAAGAGCAAGCAAGCTTCAACTTGTTGCTTTGGAAGGATCACCAATTTGGTCCTCGGCAATTGCTTTTAAACATTCATGGTGATTCTCTTATGATTACTAACGAGTAGCTTGTTAAATGGCAATATATCCTCAGGTGAAGCACTTGACCTAGAATTTGCACGCTAACTACTTCCTTTGTCAAGCTACAAGCCTCCAATATCATCTCAAAAAGCAAACCATACCCTTTACACACAGCATTTTCTTTTCAGTTTCTAATCAAAATTTATTTATTTTTTTATTTATTTATTTATTATTTTTTTTAAAAAAAAAAAAAAGTGCAGGCCATGTCCTTTTCATATAGAACTTTCTTGTCAGTTTCCAATGTAGATTAAAGTTTTACCCAAGTTCTAGACCATGAATGCATCTAGCCAACTCTTACCAGATTGAGACCAAGGCTGAGCAGAGCTGAGTGTAGTATATGCTAGAAATGACATCAAAATGAATATCCTATCTCACAAATTACCATATATTGGTCATAAGACATTCAAACGGTTTTATTCAATCAACAAAACACAAACTAACTGATTATTCTGCAATTAATTGATAATCCTTCAATTATCCAGAGGAAACAAGCTCAATATCTTTTCTACGACAAACGAAATTCAATAATTTCGAAGAAAAATGGACAAATTGTACGGATAGCTTTCGAAATTTCTACCTCTTTGCGGTTGTCGGAGAAGAGGCAAGAAAACCTGCTTCTGCACTTGAGGTTGTGTCTTAGATTAGTCCAACTGTGGTTGACTTCCGAAGACTGAGTCGAGGTAGGGAGGTGATAACGAGTGAACTCGGACCTGGCCGACGACGAGTTGCGGCGGCGATGGGCATTGGCCGGCGTTTGGGTAGGAGGGCATAGCCTTAGCATCTGCGCCATAGTTTTTCGTAGTCTGTGATTGTTCTGATAGGGACTAAAAAATTAAGAAAAGGAAAATGCGCTAATTGGTGATGCACTTCATGCAGTAGTAATTGTACCTGCTCTTTAGGCTTTTTTTTTTTTTTTTGGTATACTTAGTTAAAAGTTCAGAGTTAATTAAAGGTTAAAAGCAATTATTACTTAAAAAGATATTTGATAAACTACTAAGTGTCCCGTGTCCACGGACTATTATTAATTTAACAAATGAGCAAATTACATTTTTAATTCTATGGCTATAAGAGACATGTTAATTTTGTTCCGTGACTTTTAAAATTAACGATTTAGTTATTTAACTTTGTTTTTTTTTTAGCATATTTGGTCCTTCCGGCCAAATTACCGGTGGAAATATGTTAGAAAAACTTAAACCTTTTTAAATTTTTTATTCGTGAGGGCAAAATAATCTTTTAACGTAAGTTGTTTCTTCTTCTTCGCGTTCATGAGCTACGGCTAACAATTGCCTCTGCTTCCAAGAAAGAACAGCTCCAAAAATCGAAGGCCCA